GGGGAGAATGGGGGAGGGGTGGAGTGGAGTCTGTTGGGTGGGGTGCTGAAGGCTGTGTAGTAGCTTGAGAGTGGAGAGCTTGCGTTGCGGGTTGGGAGGTGTTCCATTGGGGATGGGGTTGGGGCGTAGTTGGGTGATGTTGGGAGGAGGCGAGGAGTGGAGGGGAGTCTTGGTGGAGAAGAGGACCATTGGCGCGCAGGCGGGCTGGAGTTGTAGGGAGAGTTGCGGGCGGTGTAGTAGGTTGTTGCTGTTGCTTGCGAGGCTCGGGAAGAACTGAGTGGCTGGTCGGGGTTTATGGCATTCCAGAGAGAAGTGAGCGGGCTGGAGCGAAGTGGTGCTGGGGGAGATGACGGAGGAGCTCGGGGCGACCCAACAACGATTTCTTCTTCCCCAGAATCGTTCTCATCTCCCTCGAGTCTTGGAGAGTATCGACTTCCCTCCTCTGTACTTCCCGTCGAGATGTCATCAGAAACGATGTCGGCCTCTTCGGTTGAGCTGGGTTCACTCTCAGAGGAGCTCATCTCAGGGTCATCGGTATCTTCGTCTTCTGGCTCTGAGCTATCATGCCCGAATCCACCATAACCAGATCCATCATGGTCAGATCCACCATGATCTGATCCATCATGATCGGACCCATTGTGATCAGACCCACCATCTACAAATTCATCTTGATCAGAGTCAGGAGCATCGAACAATCCATTCATGACTTCCTCAAATGTTGGATGAGGAGAACGGGCTGGAGGATCGTCGTCTTCATCATCACTATCTCTGTCAAGACAGTGAAAAAGCCTCGGCGCCCACTCCCGAAGTATTTCTTCAGCATTTTGTTCTAAGATAAACTCGTGGAAATTCTCGAGCCCCTTCCTGACATCTGATAACGCTCTGACAGACTGGCGCCGCGAGATCGAATTATCTCTAAAGGCTAAATGCCATTGTTCGATCGTCCAGTAAAAGTCGAAATCTCTTGCCATGGCATCTTCGACGATTTTGGTCATACGGTCCCTTAATTCGTCAGTTGGCAGTTCTTCAAGTGTTGGCCGAAGTTCAATCAGGAGCGCGAGATCTCGCCATTGATGGATCTCGAGTTTGACGAGTCTACTGTCCGTGTACAAGTGCATCGTACCGTAGACGCTGTCTATCGCTCTGCCAATATCGTCACCAGAAGAGGATATCCGTGTGCGTACCATTGCCGTGACGAATTTCCATGATGCTTGTGGTGGCCACCCACGTTTTGCGAGCCAGCGGAAGTCTTTGCACATGTTGCGGATGATAAAATTGTTGTCGTTTCGTGGCGTAAATGGTGAAGGTGGAAGACCTGGACTGGAACTTGGGAAGCGTATGAAGCTTTCTGCTGGCGAAACTTGAGTGGGAGAGGTTTCGAATGCTGGTGCGTTCGGCAAATTGTTCGAAAGAGCACTGAATGCACCACGCTCTGGACTACGAAGCTGACCGCTTGGAGAAGCGACTTGTTCATAAGGATAGTATCCATCGTCGTTGTTGCGCACGTCAAACCAAGGCACGGCCCAATTAATTCGATGGTATGGGTCGCATGGGTCGAAAATCGATTCCAGGTATTCCTTGGTCGCTTCCACATCACCACCGTGTACTGCAAGCTCATCTGTGAATTCAAGAAGCAGGTCTTGGTAGTCAAATCCAAGTCGCAAATAGTCCACAAAAAGTGGAATAAGTTGTTCGTGTAGTCCTTGACTGAGCAGGCGATCCGTGATGTAGCTGGGATCATGGAGTTTGTAGTGCAGATTTGCTACGTCTTCCACTGACAGACAAGACTCTCTTTTCACGACTGCTCTCCACTCATCTTCGATCAGATGCGCAGTACCTTCGAAGGATGCTGGCGCCCTGCTGGCAAATGCGTCACGGTAAATTTTGGATGCTGATAACCAGGCTGACAAGACATCTCGTCCATTATCTTCCACCCATCTGAGCTCATCCGCAAAGGCCGAGGCGATTATATCGTTGTGCGCGTGCATTTGGTCGACTTGCACGGCGAAAGTGATGTCTTCATTGCGATGGTAGGCTGTCCGATCGTCGATAACACGATCATAATTGCCGTCGTGGGACCAATCGTCTCGAATACTGATGGTGTCTGATGACTGATCATTAAGCTGCTCGTCATAGTCCGGTAGATTTTGATCCAGGACCTCTTGGGCCTCGACTGGTGCACTGTCTTCTGCCGGTTTACTGGCGTTGTTACCCATCGTGACGGAAGTGCTGGGAAACCAAGCTGAGCAATAGCATGTTTGCTTAGAGCCATCATCTTGAATGTGTACTGTGACAAAGAGATTGTGATCGAGCTGCCGCATCCGGCGATGGCAGTATCGAGCATAGTCTGTGAGCCCCTTGAGAACAAAGAATAGCCAGGTCTCGAAAGCTTCATAGGAATGCAGTTTGACAATGAGAAATGCCCTGAGTACCTGTCGTGATTAATTCCACGAATGGTGCTTGCGAGCCAACTTGATCTAGTACTAAGCAACATGTGAAAAGAACGTTAGCAAGGAGTCAGAATGGCAAATTTGTGCATAGTCTGATGAACTCCTAGTGAAAGTCAGATCGGCCTGTGCCGTCCCTGGGTCAACTCATGAGCTTTCCAAGTCCGGCAGCCATCGTCTCCAACTTTTCCAAGTTCAACTAAGAAGAAAGGTGGGCTTGACCAGGAACTATGCCGTCAAAAGACTGCCGTGGGTCATGTCAGAATTTGGGTCAGGCTCGCTTGGTATTCTTGACACTGGCGATGAACTTGACTGCAAAGTCGATGGTGTTTACAGTACTGTGCAGAATCGCATAGAAATTGCACTGATCAACGTCTCATGCCCGCAAACTTGACGAGGTGCAAGGCCGGAAAGCGTGTGTGATGTCCGGAACTTTCTTAGATATGCAGCTTGCTTCTGGACGCTTTGAGGTCGACATCAACATAGAGAATAATTTTGTTATGCCTCGAAGCATTGAGTAAAACAATGGCAAGGGCGAAGGAATGTGTCAGCATGTCGTCGGATCTTGGCACTCCGCTTTCGGATGCAAAATTTCCCCACGGCAAACTTTGCACCAATTATTTCGACGCACATCCGGTTTCAACCTGGCCCTTTTTGTCAAGCATTATAATTACAATCGAATAATGCTCGTCATCCAATGAGGTGCTCTCAGTGTGCACTCAATTGGTCAAGCTCGATGGCGCAGTGAGTATCAATCTTGCACGTATTTACTCATCAATCTCTAACATTACTTAGGCGGAAGCGCGCCGGGCTCATAACCCGGAGGGCGTCGGATCGAAACCGACTCGAGCTAGTTCTTTTGCTATTTGTACAGGTATTGGAAGTGTTGGTATCGTTATTCTTTTGTTCTTGGGGATCCGGGAGCTCAGGGAGATCTAGGGTGAAATTGGACGAAATGGGCTGCTTTTTTATGCTCGCAAGCGCTGTCTTTTGAAAGAGACAAGCCAGAACTCCAATTGTAGCGTGCTAACTGTGTGCGGGTTATGATTTATTCTCATATCCAGTTTGATCAAATTTCGTGCACGGACCACGTGCACGGCTTGGCACTGAAGTGAATCTCACGACCAGGAAACTTGACGCTGCAGAACATAACAACACATACGGCAGTATAGATCACAACAGTATAAAATCGATATGCAGTGGTGCAGGGGGAAAATCCGATGCTTCCAAGGACGGCGGAGCTCCCGCATTGGACGCAATGAAGAAAGCGGCGATTTCAACAGCATCGTGAACAAGATGGCAAGCAAGCGGCCACTTCTAGCTTACTCGAGCACACTGGACGAGTTGACTAGTTGTCTTTCTTATGCAAAGCGAAACCGACTAACGGCTATGCAGCCAAAATAAGCCCAAGATCTATGAAAGAGGCTACAGTATGACCATGCAATGCAGGACACCTTACGCTGCTGGTTGCTGATTTCTGTTGACATAACCTCTCAAGTCTCTTCGCGTCTTGTATGTGTGCATCAAACAGGGTATGCGACGATGTGTTGGCCATACCTCCTATGGGGAGACGAAGTCGATTGCCTTGACGTCACCGCCAAGAACGCAACAACGACTCTTTCCCATGCTCTAGTGACCTCTCAACCCTGCGGTACGCCGTCCATCAAATGCCATATCGATTTGGCCAGTCTTCCTGCCCAAACTAACTGAGTCACTACGAAAGAAATCATTTGGAAGCTTCAGAGGTGCCGTTTAGCAGGACATGACTCCGATAGACAGGTGAGTGCGTGGGGCAGTCCCTGCTGCCTGGAATAACTACAAGAGAGTATTCACAACTTCTCGCCTTCTGAGATCAAGAAAGCATTCTTTGAAATCATGTCTCAAGATGATGGACCCGCCAGCTTTCAGCAGCCGCCAAAGCCGCCATCGCGTAAAGAAACGCGTGAGAATCCTGCTCCCACTCTTGCTTGGATCGAGGATCGAATCGCAGAGATCTATTCTGTCAGACAGGTTCATCAGCAACATGTCAACATTGCGCAATACACCTTAAGCACCTACATGGATACCTACACTGCGATTCACGAGTTTTGCACATTCACAAAACACGGTCGAACAGAATCTGGCGAACTGAACGGAGAGAGCCTTTACCGACGCCTGGAATCTGCGATCAAAGCCTACTGTCAAGAAGTAGCGGCTGTGCTTTCCGCTTCACAGGGCGGAGAGAGCATCGATCGCCCCGGTGTCCCAGTTGCAGTGCTGTCAGCATACTCGCGTCAAAGGAATACCTTCTCGCAGATATGCAAGAAAGTCGAGCATATGTTTAGCTTTCTTGACCGGCATTGGATTAAGAGAGAAGTTGACGAAAACAAGCACGAGGTATATGAGCTACGACGTCTTCACGACCTGATCTGGGTAAAAGAAGTCCTGGGTGTCACATGGCCCTACCAAGGGACACCAGTGCCGCACACGACCACCCTAGTAGTGGAATCTATGAAGGAACTACAGCAACGCGGCGAAAACGATACGGCTTCCACTGGTAGCGAAGATGGCCTTGTTCAAAGCGTGCTTGATACTTTTCGCAGCCTTGGACTTGAGTTCGTCGATGGTGACTTGACAGTACCAAAGGTCGTCGAGACCGTGGTCGAAACACCTGTCGAGAAGGCCATTAAACGTGCCAAGTCCAAGTTGAAACCAGTATCTGAGGAGGAACCAGCGCGCGACGGAACTCAAAACTAACAACACACATGCTCCACGAAAAGCAAATGTGAGAAATCAAACACAGGTCCGGCAGTCGAAAGTTTCATTGCTCTTTCATTCGAATCATGAATTCTACATACTGGCAACGCCATCTTATTCGCCCTCAGCATATTACGAGTTCATGCTGCAATCTCTTAATAGTTCCTCAGGCTGGCCGCCTTACGCCTTGCATCACTCTCGTACGCTAGCCAGTCGACTTTCTCTTCAACAACTGAGCTGTTCGTCAACCACATCCTCAACATTGCGCCCTCGATCTACTTCTTGCCAATACCGAGACTCTCAAGGACGTTGTAAGCCCCAAAGCTCGGCACGTTGACCTTTGGCACCTGGCTTGGCTCTGTCAGGCGCTTGGCAATCTCGCCATCCACATCGGTCTGCTTCTCGTCGTACGTCTTGCGCTCTGCCACTTCGCGTGCCTCGCGATTCTGTTTCTCGGCGAGAGCAATCGCTTCCCGACCAGTCATCGGGCGAGCTTGAGGAGTATCAGCTTTCTCGACTGCTGTCTCTGGCGCCTTCTCAATGTCTTTCCACGCGGCGATTGGGGTAACATTGGCATTCGAAGTCTCACGCGATGTGGAAGTGCGATCTTCGGCAGCGCCAACCATCTGGTGTGACAAATCGGCGTGAGTCTCGCTCGTGCCAGTGCGTGCTTTCTTGTTGGTGGAAAGTGCTCGCAGCACCCCGTCCTCTTCTTCTCCAGCGCTCGATTTGCGCTTCTTCGATTTCTTCTCAATCTTCGGCAGCTCCGAGAATGGTATCTGTGGTTGAACAACGCTCTTCAAAGCCGCGCGAGGCGCCTTACCACTCTGCTTGTATGCCGAGACGTCGCTGATTGACAGCGTGGAGGCATCGCTACCACTCGAGGCACTCTCGAACTCGCGCTGACGTTTCTTGAGCTTCGCCCACGACTGCTTGCCGTGCCTGTTCCACCAAGACTCGATCCACTGATCAATTTGGAATGGTGAGGTGGTCATGGTCGCTGTGCCAAGGTATGCTGGTAGGTGAACTATGCAGAAATCGCGCTTCTCAGCATCCGAAAACTCTCTGAGCCCAACTTTAGAGTCTTGTCTCATGGCACGGCACATGGCCTCCTTGGAAGGCGCGTTCTCTGGATCGTGAGCCTTGCTCGGAGCTTGACGTCGCAGGGTTTGTGGGCGAGGACGAGAGATTTCCGCTGAGACTCGAGGCTTCTTTGGCTTCTCGTCGAGTTGTTCTGGTGCCGTCTTGGTGGTACGCTTACGCTTGCGGTTGATCAGCGAGGCGTTGGAGACAGTGAGAGGCATGTCATCGCCATCGTCGTCGTCAGACTCCAGGCCCGAGCTTGGCAGAGATAGTGTGTCCTGGACTGGGCCGACTTGCGCGGCAGTGGGCTCGGAGCTCTTCTTCTTCGGCTTGTAGGCGACGCCCTTCTTGGGTGGTTGGTTCTTCGCCATGGCTTTTGTGATGGATCGTGGAGAGGAGCTGAGAAGGGTTCGTGGCTTATAAGTCGCGGAAGACATGACTAGAGGCGACTAGACGTTGGCGACAGGAAGATTCTGGCTGGTTACGAGTCTGGTGAATGAGCTGCGTGCGTGCGTGTCGCAGAACTTGGAAGCTGTCAACTTCTGTTGGTGCCGGTGAGATGCTGTCGAGTACTCTATGGTGAGGTCTCAGGGTAAAGGCGACAGTGAATGTTTCCGAGTGGCACGGCTGTGTGATAGATCTCGAGTCCGCAAAGGGTCAGTCAAGAGAAGAAGACGAATGGTGAAGCGCAAGCCGACCGGTGTCTTGGTCTCTTGAGCGATGACAGTAAGTGACGTTTGGGTCAAAGTGTGGTGATAAGAGTAGTGCAGCAGCAGTGTTGTTTATAGTGGCGGAAGCGCATGAGGCCGCAAGAAACACGCTAGAACGGAAAAGGCTAAAATCAGGTGAATGGCCACAAATTTAGAGTTTCTGCCATGCCACATCTACAATAGGACGGCCTCAGAGCGACAATATGGAATACAATAGGTGTTTCGCAGCCATATTGGACTTTGCGATACGTTGTTTGGATGTTGCAGAGCATAATAGGACAAAGTTGAATGTGCGTATAGTGAGCCTAGTAGAAGATTGTTGAGAGAAGAGTGCTTGTATTGCTTGATTCTATCTACGATGTATCTCTCTCTGCCTTAATAGTCTCTCTCTCTTGTTTGCCCGTTGTTTGATCGTTGTTTGATCAAAGAGTCAGTTCAATGTTCTAGCACTTGCCAGTTAGGGATACCGGCTGTCCGGAACAACCAACAACCTGTCTATCACTTAAGGGAAGGGCACATGCAGGGACGATGTTTAGTCTCTCGAACGTAGTGTATACTACTAATGTAGATGGAAACTATTCTCGCAGTCTTATGGGCACTGAAGAAACGTCGTTGTATCAAAAATCGAATCTGTCACATGTAAAAACGCGTTTCGAGTCATTCTCTTCACTTGCACATGCTCCTTTTCCCACGTGATCGACGCAACACTCATTCACTTACTCGAACGACTAGCAGTTGCGTTACATTCAATACATTTTCTGACGCACTGCAGCATTATTTACACGCACGACCGCCCTGTGCCTTACTGATACAACCGAGGCTGCCCACAAAATGGCTTCAACTGTTCAGAAACTCGCGACTCGAGTCGCCCTTATCTGCCTCCGCGAAATCGAAACAGCAGTCGATGTCGTCCAGGAAACACTGCTTGGATGCAAGGTGGAGCGAAGGGAGCCTGCAAGGCTGTCGGTACCGTTGACCCTTTTCTTGCTGGGCACGGGACTACGAACCAAGGATAAAGGTAAGACTACGAATGGTTTTCGAAAACGATTATTTGCTGACTCGAGATCAAAAGGATGTCGCCAGCGTAGATTGGCAGTGACTGGCTTAGTATTACTGCTCTATGTATTCGGTTGGAATAAAAGGGAGGGCGCGAACCGATTTGTTAGCTATGCACAAGCTGGAGCTGCAGACATGGGATGGGCATCGATGCTGAGGTTCGCTCTGCCTCGCATGCGGAAGTTCTTGATTGAACAGCAAGGTATGTCTTGACTAGGAGATCTCAACATCGAGAACATTGAGCTGACAGTTGGATAGATGCAATCGACCCTCCGCCCTCCCCGAAAGCCACTACGAAAGCTAATGAAGACGAGCGCAAGGAAGTCGAGGAAAGCGACAGCGATGCTTTCGAAGAAGAACTGCTCAACGTGAAGAGCATCCGAATTGTCAAGTCGACTGACTCAATTCCTGAGCTCAACATCGCGCCTGGCGCTTGGCCAGTTAGACCTCGTCTCATTCGCAGAACAACCAGTGTTGCGAGCACGCTCGATCTCTCCAATTTGGCAGCGATGCGCCAGGCGTGGCCTTTGGCTTGTGATCAGCTCACTCCGCTGGACAGGCTTACTTCGGGCATACTGGAATAGTCTTGTTGAGGATCTGGAAACGCACAGTAGCAACATGGTAGCAAGAAGAAAATGGGCACCTCACCGGTGCAGTGGGTTGTGGGGTGGAATCGAAAGTCGTCGTTTACGAGTCGATAGCTTTGACTGCGCAATTCGAAAGCACATGTTGATGTGCCCTCTGATTTGAGCGTCTGCTAGATGAAAAACTCACCATCTCTTCCAACTCACTACTTCCCCACATTCAACGGCTTCTCCCTCCCAGCACTCTTCCACCTCTCCAAATGCAACAAAGGATTATCCAACCCCTCAATAGGAAGGAATCCCTTCAAACCCTTAATCCTCTCAATCCACTTTCTCACATTCTCATAAGGTTTCAAACTGATATCTCCCATCTCCGCCAACGCGATATACACGAAAACACTGATATCCGCGATCGTTGGGCGACCGAGCACCAACCAGTCGTTGGTCTCCAACTGTTTGTCGAGGATCTTGAGAGATTGGTTTCCGCGAAGAGCGCCTTCCTCGAGAAAGACGTCGAGTTTCTCTTGCGACCATTGTTGGTTGTTTCCGAGGCCGTTGTAGGGTCCGTTGTAGGAGAGGATGGCGCGGTTGGTGAAGACGCCGTATTGGACCCAGGAGTTTGCGAAGGCCAGCTATGAGTTAATATTGTCAGAGAATAATTCTTCATGTAGACGATCAAGGAGATCATGTATTTACCCAATTTATGATCTGAGCCTGCTCATAGAGATCATTAGACCAGTAAGATGAAGGTCCTTGACTTTTGCCTCCGTCGCTCCATTTGCCTGCTAGCCATGTGAGGATAGAGCTGGAGTCATTAAATGTCTTATCGCCGTCAACGAGACAAGGCACTTCTCCGCGCGGGTTGATTTTGAGAAATTCTGGCGAGTGTTGCTGATCGGCGAGGAAGTCTATTTCTTCGTGCTTGAGTTGAATACCCAGAAGAGCTTCCAGCAAACGAACTTTGTAGCTGTTGCCGGAGCCTTTGAATGTGTAGAGTGTGCCTGCGGACATTTTGAAGAAGTTGTGAGACGAGCAAGTAAATCTGAAGCTGCAGGGTTGCAGATAGGCATTGTTGCATTAGTATACTCTTGCATGGTCCTGTATGTTGGATTACCGCATCTGCTGAAGGCGTCATCTGTAAGCTGTGAAGCAACATGGAATTTGTGTCGGCATTTACTGGATGTAGCAATGGAAGTGGGGTTGCTGTGTGGTGCTATAAGGATTGAGTTCGACGCTTGAGCTCGTTGCCAGATGGCGCGATGTCAGTTGCGACAACGAAGCTGCAAAGAGCGACATGCCCATGCTACTCGATGAGCTGCAGGCTCGAAAAAGGTAGAAGCTTTGCTGCGTGCGTTGGATTCGCATACCGCAAAATAACCTTGACGATTCCTTGACCTTTGTTGTGAGAAGGTACCTTACATGCAATGTCTGTGTAAGTGCATGGGCCCGTTGCAGTTGCTTGCATTCTGCTGTGAGATTAGTAAAAGACCTTTGACAACTGCAGCTGCAATCAATGCCAAGCACAATTGCAACTCCCAATCGTGCTGGAGGACTTTGCCTTACTTCTGAGCGCATCACCGTGCTCAAGCCATCTTCTCGCCAACCGCATCAACCAACATCTTATCATGATGAGCACTGATCCCAGTCTTGGTCAAATGCAAAGCCAATCCTTCCTCCCCATTCTCATGGAACGCAGCACCTTTTCCGATCTTTTGCAGACTGTCTCTGAAGAATACTTCATAGAAGCTGACAGCAAAGATTGTGGCAGGGATATTGACCAGAATCGGGATCCAGGAATAATGGTAATATGTGAAGGCTTCCTTGCCATAGAAGATTGCCGCAACGATTCGAGGTCCGAGATCTCTTGCGGTATTAAGACCAACAGTAATACCACCGAAGCCCCAGACTATGGTCGCATAGCCGAGACCAATCATGAAAGGTGCAGCGGATGGTGAGACGAAAGGGTTTGCGGGATCGAGCACGGCCCAGATGATGATGCCCTTTCGCATGTTAGCTTCGTTGCCAGCTATCGTGGCAGACGACTTACGACGTAGGCGCTCGTGAAGAATTCAATGAAGAACAAGTAACCCAAATTCGTCTGGGCCAGACCAGGAAAGGAGCAAAGCACACTAGCTGGACCTCCCTCGAAGACCATGGATGACGCTCCAGCTGTCCTCAATGTGTGTTCATAGTCGCCGAGCTGTACATGATACATGCCCATCAAGAACAGAGCAGCAAGGAAACCACCGAAGAGCTGGCTGAGAATGTAGTGCGGTACCTTCTTTAGTGGGAAGCCTTGGAAGATGGCGAAGCAGATGGTTATGCAAGGGTTGAAGTGACCTCCAGAAACAGGTGCACAGATGGTGATGGCAAAGGCGATGCCCATAGCGAATGCCAGACCTAGATCAATGGTTCGTGAGCTGTTCGTGTCATTACTCCGCCGGGGAGTTCTGTCCTGTCTTACCTATAGCGAATATGCTTCCATACCCAGCGTTCGCTTTGCTGACAGTGAAAGCCGCGATCGCCGCAATGCCGGGCAGGACGTAGAAGAACACTCCAGTAGCCTCAGCAACACATCTGAGATTGCTTAGTTTGAACACTACGCAAACCGAGATTCGATGCAACGCACTCTCTAAGCCATCTCGGTCTTGCGTGCTCGAAGTCGAGTTTCCGCTGCGATACTGGACGTGCTGCAACAACGTGTCGTGCAAAATGCTGCTTGAGGACTTCTGTGGCACCAAGTTCGAGGTCATGAGTATGGAGCTATTTGATTGGACATTCTGTCAGCTCTACTTGATTTTTGAAAGAGCGAGATCATGTACCCTCTCGATTCGGGAGGCGTCATCTGCCATTCTTGGGGATGACTTCGTAGACTCGTGAGCTCCGTAGGAACAAGCGTGTGCGAGACAAGGTGAAGGGAAAGGTCCCAGAGTCACAGCCGAGGACCAGCTGCTTCAAGCTCACCGCGGCACGAGCGCGCAGCACTTCGTCTTATAGATCATGATCGATCTCAAAAGCGCGTGCTTCCCGCGTGCACTTCAGCCGGCTCTTTGCGGGGAATGCCATCTTCTGTGCATAACGCCGTGCTCCATGATCATGGAAAGACAGCCTATGCGACTATCGACAAGCACTTTTCTCGATTGGTGATGCTGTACCGGCCGGATATCCAAATAGTGGAACAAGATACCGCCAGCTCCACTGTGATGGGGGTCAGCGCGGATCGACAGTGGTGCGGTTCGACCGGCACTTGAGTTGAAGCGTGGCCGAGACTCGCGTCCAGAAGGTGCGAATACGCGTGTTCTGGCGGCTGACATGCTGGAGCGGGACCTTGCGCGATCCGGCAGATGTGTTACTCTACTGCATGGCTCATTGATCTTTGTAGTGATGCAAGTAGAGTGCTTCCAGTAGATCGAGTATGGAGGAAGCGGACTGTCTTATATGTTAAAAAAGATGATTAGTTATCGTGAGCGGTGGTGAGCATTGTGGGTTTTGAATTAGTTCGCAACGCTGTCGAACTTCCCCGTGGGCAACTCCAGACCTGAGTGGAGTCGACAAGCTTGACAAGGATGTTGAGTGAGCCGGGAAGTCGGCATTGGAGTTGACGGGGATAATTCGAATTTCCGAGGCAAAATGCATAATTCAAGCATCTCACAGCTTCGAGCCATCGCCACTGGTGTCCTTCTCACTGCTGTTCTGCCCAACTGATCCGGAGCCATCCACTTTGGGAGCTGTTGCCGTCTGCGTTGAGTCCGCTGCACTTCCCACGAACACGTGGCCAAGACCACTAGCAGATGCTTCGTATTTCTTGTCTGACTTGGACCTTTCGCCTGGTAGTTTCTCACTCTTCACCTTGTCTGTGTGCCATCGAGACAAATTGAGCGTCTCGTCCACATCTTTTGTCAGCTTGGCAATCTCGTCTTCGAGTTGCTCATCCTTGGTCTTCTCTGATCCTGGCTGCTCACCCGCGGTCTTGCCAATTTCTGTTCCTGCCTTTGATGATGTCTCTGCCCACAAGGCTTCAAGTTCTTCGAGCCAGCCACATGCTTCCGCAAGTCTTTTCACGCCTCCGTCGCAGTCCTCCAATAGTAAGACGTCATCCGCCCGAGTGCCGAGATTGCCCACACGCTCCTTGTTGATCAAGAGTCGTGGCGTCTCTTCTCGAGCGAAGCCTGGAAGGCTTGCAAACGGTTGCACTGTCAAGCTTGTGCCCATGACTATAGCAAGATCTGCCTCACGTGGAAGATCGCGATTGTCAAAGAATGCCGATGGAAGTGCCTCACCAAAGAAAACAATCTCAGGCTTTACCAGACCCTTGCAGAAGTGGCAACGCGGGATGGTCTTGTTCTCGACGTGTACTTGAATCTCATCCCTCGGGTATGGTTCTTTGCACTCGATGCAACTCTGTTTCGCAAAAGAGCCATGCGCTGCTATCATCTTCTCCTCTGGGACGCCAGCTTCTTGCTCCAAGCAGTCTATGTTCTGCGTGAAGCACTTCAGCAGCAGACCCCTTTTGTGCAGCAGACTTATGAATGAATGTGTGATAGTCGGACGGTACTTGCCAGGGTAAAGCTCGTGGGCCAGCGCATAGAAAGGTTCTGGATTCTCTCTGAAATAGCTGATGTCGAAGACAGCCTCTGCGTAGGGTAAGTTCAACCTTGCCAGATTTGCATACAATCCTGTCTCTGGACTTCGGAAATCCGGGATACCAGCACTCGTGCTGATACCTGCTCCTGTCATAACCACGACTTTCTTGACTTTGCCACTTTTGATATACTCTGCCAACGCCTCGAGCGTTCTACCCGACAGGGTGTTCGGCGGTGTCGACTCATCAATCGGCGTGCTTTCTTCGTTCCCCATGGCGCCGAGGAAGAAATCGGAATTCGCTTGTGCAAATCTTCTCGCTAAGCTGTTCCTCCAGCCGCCTCTCTTGCCTTTGCCTTTGGAACTGCCTTCTGGCACCTGGCCACGCTTGGGCTTGTGCTTGCGACCTATGGTGACGAATAACGATCTTACAAAGTTCACTTTGGTAGTTGCGACCAAGTGTGTGGCCGGATACACTGCAGAAGATTGTCGGGAAGAGCTCAGAAAAATGGGTGTCGCGAAGCTGATTTGCCACAGAGAGGGCTTCTGCTGTACCGAGATGGGCGCGAAGATATGGACTGGAAGCACAGCCAGCTCGGTCAAACCTAGGTGGAGCACTTTAAGGTTCTCGAAGCTGCTCTCGTGAACCTGTCTTGGGGAAGTGAATGCTAGGAAGTGTGTCTCAGGCGCAGTATCGAATCTGTCAGACTGCTGGTGATCGAAAAAGGGAATTGCGCGGGATGACGTAATGCTTCCGTTGCATCTTTTGGGCAGGATCGACCAACATTCACTCACGCCAACCAAGCTTCCGCGAATCACAAACTACCAGCTTTCACAGACTACGAGCTTGCCAGACGTAAGACCTCAGCATTTGTTTCTGACGCATCAAGAGACATCGTAGAAAATGAGCAGCTTCCTCTCCTTTGACAAGTGAGCAATTTCCCTGTCACCTTGCATAGAAGCAAAGTCCATATGAATAAATCCGTTACCAAATAGTTTCAAGAAAAGACTTCCCGTGACCGTAACAGCCGACGACGATGAATTCGACGAAGATATCTTGAACCACCTTCGTGAAGAGGGCTTCGATGTGGTACGTCAGACATCAATGTGCAACAAGAACAAAATCAATAATCACCAACCACAAACAAACCACGACAAGAAATGATCTCAAGACCCCAATACTCACACCGCCACCACAGACCTATTTACCATTCGACCCCTCCAACCCAAAACCCTACCTCAACCAACTCAAACACCTCGCCGACGACCTCGAACTAGGTGAAACCTACTCCATGATAGCCTTCAACCAAGCCGCCGCAGTCTGCTTAGACTTCCACCTCAAACCCCAACCCAAACTCAATTCCCTAATTTGCTACTACCCAAACCATCTCCCTTCTCCAAAAGCAACCTATCCAACTCAACTCCAAGTTCTGGTTCATCTTGCTGGGAACCAACCTTTCGCTCCCGCAGGCGTGAAATCTTATCATTATAAGAATGCGCTTGTGGGGTTTGCGGAGAGGGATTTGGACACGTGGGACGGAGTTGCGGGCGGGTTGAGCTGGACGAGGACGATTGGGTGTTTGAGGAGGGGGTTTAAGAAGGAGGTGGATTTGGAGCCGATGAAGGAGAGTTATTCGGATCAGGTGTTTGGGAAGAAGAGTGCTGAGGGAGTGGCGGGGATGATGGTCCCGGTGAGTAGATTGAAACTCATTCATAAGTGTTACCGGTTCATGCGTGCTGATAGAGTTGACTGCAGGATTCGTATATGAATTGCGTTCCGACAATGACGGGCGGCATCGGCCAGCAGGATCTATTCATATTCTATCGAGACTACTTCATTCCGAAGAATCCACCTTCGCTGAGCATCAGATTGGTCAGTCGCACGATTGGAACTGATCAAGTGGTGGATGAAATGGTTCTCTCTTTCAAGCACACGCAAGAAGTGCCTTGGCTTTTGCCTGGCGTAAAGGCAACGAATAAGGTCGTACACATTGCGGTCGTTTCAATCGTGGCGTTGCGCGGGGGACGTTTGGTGCACGAGCATTTGTATTGGGATCAAGCGTCGGTGCTCGTGCAGGTTGGATTGTTGGATCCGAAGCTTGTGCCGAAACCGTTTCAAAGTCAAGGTTTGAAGCGATTGCCTGTATCGGGGAGCGAGGCGGCTGCGAAGGTGCTGAATGAGGAGAGTCGGCCCAGCAATGAGCTGATCCCTGACTGGAAGCAGTCGATGAGCAAGCAAGGCAGTCAAGCTCTGCCGCAGAGGCCGAAGCAGGCTGCGAACGGTGGCAAGGGTGCGCCATCATCATAATCACACACTCAGGGAGCTCCGGCTGTTTGACCGATAAACTTGCATGTCGGCAAGCGATATTCGGGCACGGTCCAGTAAGGGCGACGGATGCCGTCCCACGCGCCAACCAGTGAAGGGACCTGAAGTGTGGTCCATTCGACATCCAGACCAGCATCGAACAACTCGATCTCAACCACCTTGGTGTACACATCGTAGCAGATCTGGCGATCCGCTCCCAGGCCGTTGTAGAAACCGAACTTGCCATTGCTGTCCAGCAGCTGGATCACGTATTCCGAGAAGAGCTCTTTCAGGTCCTTGTAATCCTCAGCATAGGTGTCGTAGTACATGCCATCAAGCACAACTCCCTCTGCGACGAGCTTGGGTAGCACATCCTGCCACCTTCCCTCACAGACTCTTACGTTCTTCTTCTCATACCAGCCTGTGTTGCGAATGTGCTGCAAGACCTCGGGGTGTGCCTCGACAATGTAGTGCATCTCCGGTTCGTTTTCCATGAACATGCGATCGACGATGCCCATGCCGTGACCAATGTTCATCGTGCGCAGACCCTTCTTCGGGCACAGTTGGTCGGCAGAGCATTTCATGATCTCAGTCTCCCAGTCTGTGAATTATTAGTATCGATCATATGTCTAGTATGTCATTCTCTTTACGTACCCATCATCACTGCATTCTTGTCCGAGTCAAGGAGACGGCCTTCGGAGTAGGTGAGTTTCGATGCGAGGTAGGCTGGGTTATCGACGTTGGGGTTCAAGAGCTCGCCATCCTCGTTGGTCTGTGTGATTTCTGGCGCGGCGCCCGCAGCAGCTTGGTCGGCGATCTTCGTCGAAGGATTTGGTGCAGGCTCGAATCCAGAAACACCGACAGCGCCATCACCATTTGCGTTTCCGTTCGCTTCGGGAACGTCTGCGGGGCTGGGTTCGAAACCGGTGATTTCCTCATCTTCCATCTCTTCGTCTTCCCCTCCATCTGGAAGCGGGGCATATTCATCCAGCCTGTTGAAGAGAAGTTCGGCGCGCACACCAGCAGCCACGACAGCTTCGTAGACGTTCTTCAGGCCGAGTCTCAGTGCCAAGCAGCCGGGAGTCTCGTCGTTGTTGTCCAGCTCGTTCCAAATGGCACCGTTCTCAAACAGAAGTTGGACGGTAGCCAAGGCGGACTCTTCGGTCAGAGCATTGCCGTGGACAGCATCGCCCGCGGGCACCGACTCCTCTTTAGACTCCTCATCTGGCTCACATGCTGCAATGGCCGCGTGCAGGGGAGAAAACCCGGTCTCTGAATCCTGAATGCGTGCAGAACCCGTCCGCAACAACTTTTTCAAAGCCTCGAGGTCGTGGTTGGTAGCAGCGAGCAGGATCTCGTCGTTGGTGGTGTCGGTGTCGACCTGCATGTTGACATCGTCCTGAGCGGTGGCAGCCATGTTGTGCAGAGCGGCAGGGAGGAGCAGCGGGGTGCAGGCCGGACGTGCAGAGGGAGGAAGCAGCAGCAGCAATATTTCTCTGCAGAATGACTTTCCGCTGTTTTCTCGGCTCCGCAATTCCTGGCGCGCTTTTGAGCAGGACCCTGGCGTTTCACATTCAGGCTCAATGTCACCACCGACACCTCCACCAACACACCAGCAACGGCCGGCGACCAGCTTGCGTGGTGCTGCTGGCGGTGCAGTCAGCAGCCATGGCTGTGGGCGATGACGAGGAAGCCTACGACGACGATATCGCGGCCATGAGCTTCTTTTGCTGCCGTACCCTGGAATCACGTCGGCGGGACAGCACCACGGACGCGCTCCGGCGTGCGGCGACGTCATCCGCTGATGTGCTGCTCCTCCGATGATGGCAGTCCGAAAAGCATGGCGCGGCGGCGGCGGCGGTGTGTTGGCCGTCACGCGCGGGAATCAGTCTTCACCACTGCGACAGCAGCCTGCATCATCGCCGCCGCATCTGGGTCGCCCCGAGTTTCAGACATCGGCTGGGTCGGGCGTGCTGCAGGTACAGTACGAGCAACCAGAAAAGCCATCCTGGTCTGAGCGGCCCCGTGCTACTGCGAGCTCGACATGTCCAAATCAGCCGATGGTGGTACACAAATGCCTTTTCACTCCACCAATGGCATCGATGCCGCGCAGATAACAGGCACGGTGGGCGGCGATGGGGTCGTCGAGCTGGAGCAGCGGCCCTCGTCGAATGCCAGTCGGAAACCCAAGGAAGAGAGCAAGGATGGAGGACCCGGGAGCTCCACTTCGACCTCGAGTTCCAACTCGGACGACGAGCTTATGGACAACTATGATGAACTGGAGGTAGATCCAGACACGCTCATCGTGAACAGCAGGAGAAGCCTCGACGTCGGTTTGCGACCTTCGAATGTCACCATGGGCGACGTCGGTCCATCGGACGACGACCTGCCTCCCGCGAACCATGGCAAACGGAACAGCATACAGATCAACCTGAAGAAGACGGACCGGAAAGGAAGATACATTCTTACCGCCGATGATCCCGCGATTCGCGAAGTCTTGCGTAGAGGTATTGAGCGCGAGGAAGAAGAGAAGGGGAACAAGAAGCGCATGCGCTTTCGAGATCTAGTTTTCACACGTCGCTTCACGAGATTCGATCGCCAGAATCCATCGAGTTCCGATAGCCCTTTCTTCGGCTTCTTCACTCTGTTCTGGATCTGCATGTTCTTGATCTTTGTTCAAGTGGCACTGCGGAACTGGCGAGAATATGGCAGCGTCCTGGGCGGCAACCAAGTCTTCAAGCTGATGATGAGCCGCGACGTTGTGCTGCTGGGAGTGACAGACCTAGCCATGTGTCTGCTCACCTTGGAGGGACTATTCCTTCAGAAACTGGTACTGCGCGGCTGGATCAAATGGTCACGTACCGGGTGGATCATACAGAACATATGGCAGGCAGCATATCTCGGAGCTGTCATAGCCTTTGCGTATTACCGCGAGTGGCCCTGGACACACACCATCTTCGTAGTACTCCATGGTCTGGTGTTTCTGATGAAGCAGCACTCGTTCGCATTCTACAACGGCTACCTTTCTGGCGTGTACAAGCGGAAACAACTCCTTCGAGAAAAACTGAAGGAGTTGGAAAGACTGGAACCAATACACTCTCCACCTACAAGTCCAGTGTCGGAGGACAAGGAATTCCTCACCTCTGCCGTCGACGTCGCTCAGATGTCGTCTAATATGCGGCGCCGTACTTCATTCGGTCCCAAGACATCCGTTAATCTGAAGAGTGAGCAATCCGACGTGGCAACTGTCGCAAAGGCTATTGAATCTGGTCAGCGACTCAGTGCAGATCAAATGCAAGTGATGGTCGCCGTCATCAACCGCGAGATTCTAGAGCTCAACAAAGAGTTGCGTGGTAAAGCTGACAGCGATAGCCTCGCCTATCCGAACAACTTGACCTTGTACAACTCAGTAGAGTGGATATGCCTGCCGACTTTGGTCTACGAGCTCGCCTACCCTCGTCAGGACAAGATCAATTGGTGGTATGTGCTGGAAAAGACGACGGCAACCTTCGGCGTCCTCTGCGTGATGCAGGTCATCTCTCAAGGCTTCATATATCCCTTGGTCCGTAAGACGGTCGATATGAAAGAAGCCGGGATGACTTTGGACCAGCGCTGGCAAGAGTTCCCATTCATCGTCTCGGACATGCTCTTCCCGATGCTCATAGAGCAGTTGCTCACCTGGTACCTCATCTGGGAATGCATTCTCAACGTCCTCGCCGAGCTCACTTACTTCGCGGACAGAGGCTTCTATGGCGACTGGTGGAACAGCGTCACCTGGGATCAATATGCGCGAGACTGGAATCGACCTGTCCACAATTTCCTCTTGCGACACGTCTACCAAAGCAGCATCAGCGCGTTCAAGCTGTCGAAGACTGCAGCGACGTTTGTGACCTTCTTACTCAGTGCGTTGGTGCACGAGCTGTGCATGGCTGTATTGTTCAGAAAGGTCAGGGGGTACCTTTTCACGATGCAGTTGATGCAGATGCCGCTCGTTATGTTGAGCAAGACGAAATTTTTGAGAGACAAGGTCGTGCTCGGCAACGCGATCTTCTGGTTTGGTTTGTTTATCGGGCCTAGCTTGCTGACGAGTTTGTATTTGGTGGTGTAGCAGGACATGGAGATTGGATGCTGATCAAAAGTATGATTGTGTACAGTAGTTGGGCATGTCTGTATGACTGTATGAGGAAGCGTTCAGTATCAGCCCCGGTGGCATCGACGAGCGACTGTGGAACGGCCACACTGGGGCTCTCCAAAGCTGGGGGCTTTCGTCAAGCACGCCACTCACACATACCGCGACATAATTCACGCCACCCTTGCCAACACAGACGGCGACCTCAACGTCCGTTCTTCCAGTGCGAGCGCGCAGGTTACGCAGAACAGGCAAGATGTACCACGCATATTCACCGGACCATCGCAAACATCGGACTGTCGCAGAACAGAGGCAATCAACGCAGCATACCCTCCTCGCCATCAGGCAAGGATATGGCGTGCCTGGGGATCTACCGAAACTGCCGAATAGATCGACAGCCTGTCAAAGCATCGCAAATATCAGCTTCCTCGTTACTGGTCTGTAGTGCTGCAGTAGAGGTGACTGTGTGCTTCCTGAGCGCATTTCACCTATGGCGCAAGAATTAAGGTTTCGTTGTGCTTGGCACTATCGAGTACATGCGGACATCACCTCATGTAGAGCTACGCCCATGCAGTCATCAGCTCAAGCGTCATTGGATGGCGCTCTCAGCAAAACAACTTCCCCATTGACGCTGTTGTCGGTGGCGTACGGTGGAGTTTACGCCGAAGTAGTTCGGGCAGTTCATGCACTACTGCGCTCCTTGCCCTACCAGTTGGCCCCACGCATTAAGCTTGTGCACAAGCTTGTGTCCAAAGGCTGTGCGATCGACTACTTGGGGGCCCCTAGAGAATCTGGAGATGGTCAGCTTTGCTGTGGCGGCCGGTGACCGTTGAGTCGGGCCTCTCTTTGTGATGGCGAGGCGCTGGGTGCCACAGTCAAGACTCAGCGCCTGACTCCGCAGAGATGTCCTCGACGACGGCACCGATCCGAGTGATATCACATCGTCGGAGTCGTCAAGATCGAAGGAAGCATTGTGCTCGCTGAGCACCACCTACGTCTGCTACAGTATGTCGTGATCAATCAAGCAGCGGCAAAGGCGGCGACTCATCCTCAACACGTTGCATCGAAGGGCTACAACAACACCTAACGGCGACCAATGGACCGAACGGTGCATAGTCCACCTGACGACCGTGTGCAGAACCCACGAACTTACTGCAACAACTCTTCCTGACCTAGACGCCCATCGACACATCTTTGCTACATGGGGTAAGGTCGTATCCGCTTTCGCAGATTTTTGGGATGTTGGTTTCTTCCGCTGTGGCGTTGCTGCTAGACTTCAGAGGAAGTGATCGACCTTTCGACGAAGTCGGCCTGCTCGTGCTAAGCGATTTTGCATGTACCACGAGCAGTGGCGACGAGATTTCGAGGGACGATCATATCCCACCGCAATGGTAGACACAAATTGCGCGAGCACGACTCCACGGGGGATTGATGGAACGGTGCATATAAAAGAGCTGTAGGAACTTCCTTCAAGGCTCCCTATCCTTCCATCACTTCCTCAAGCCATCAACAATCTGCTCTCATCCAGTATGAAGACCACACTCATCCTGGCCAGTGCTCTTGGAGCAGCTGCCTTCCCTGGTATGAAAAGGGGCATCGACGGTGTTCCACACGAAATCAGATCTCTCCTGGAGTCCGAAGGCGCGAGCTTGAAGAAGCGTCAGGAGGATGCCCTCGGCATTTCCCGTGCGCAGTCCAACTGCGGTCCTCGTCTGTGCCCGACTTTCGACGAGCAAGGTATGAACCACCAGTTCTTCATCGACCGAAGCGTTCATTCACTGACAGTGCTATAGACCAGCTCGTGTCTGTGAGTGGTGAGCATGAGTGGATCAAGCCAGGACCAGGCGATATTCGTGGACCTTGCCCAGGTCTCAACGCTGCTGCCAACCATGGCTACCTCGTAAGCCCATCCCGAGCCATCACTTCGGCTGTGCCGTTACTGACTGTCGCCTCTCTAGCCACGAAACGGTATCGCATCGATCCAACAGACTGTCAGCGGTCTGGGTGCATTGTACAACTTGGGCCCTAGAATCTCTGCTGCCCTTGCTGTCTACGCCATCGCGACGACTGGAAATGCCGTCGAGGGTGTCTGGTCTATCGGCGGTCCGCTGCCTGAGTTCCCTCTCACCAACCCACTCATTGGCACCGGTCAAGGTCTCTCCTACTCGCACAACATCTATGAGGGAGACTCAAGCATTGGTCGCGGTGACTCTTACATCAACAACGGAGATGCACACTCCCTGAACGTCACTCGCTTCGAGCAGGTGTACAACATCGCCGTTGCCGATGGCAGTGATCGATACACACTGGATAAGTTCCGTGCCAAGTTCGAGGAGGCTCAAGACGAGTCGATCGCCAACAACCCATACTACTTCACTGGTGCTTTCTCAACCGTCGTCGTTGTGCCTGCAGCTTACAACTTCGTCATCAACCGTAAGCACATATCCACCTGTCGTGCCAAAGCTTCAAGCTGACCCTTCCTCAGTGATGAGCAACCACTCTGCTGAACAGCCAGCCGGCTATCTCGACGGCTATAACTTCGCCTCATTCTTCGGCGTCGACACCAGCGGCGGCGCTGGCAACTTCAAGTGGCTCCCAGGCCAAGAGCGCGTCCCAGAAGACTGGTACCGCCGTCCATCTTACGCTCCATACGAAGCCCAAGATGTCGTCGGTGACGTCGCCATCGGCTACCTCGCCTACCCACGCACCCTCAAGTTCGGCGGCAACACCGGCAGAGTCAACACCTTCACCGGCGTCAACGTCGCCAACCTCACTGGTGGCGTCTACAGCGCTCGAACACTCTTCACCGGCAACAACTTTGCTTGCTTCAGTTTCCAGCTCTTGCAGCAGGGTATTCCAGATGCGTTGAACAACGTCATTGGTAACTTGTCGCCTATCACTGCGCTGTTGAACAAGTATGTTGGACCGATTGTCGGTGGATTGAGCTGCCCACAGTTGGCCAAGTACGATTACAGCCTTTTCGATCAGTTCCCTGGTCGCAAGTATAACCCCAAGGGCCCGGCTACCAACTTCAAGGGTTAGGCGAGGAAATACGAGGGAAATTATGAAATGGTATAATGAGGAGGAAACGAATAAAGGAATTGTGCAAAATTATACAGACTAGGTAGTTATGCAAGCACAGAATGATGGTTCGGATTGAACCGGGGATTACCCGCAATTTGAGTCAGAGATTGATTAATGTTGCGCTCGTCGTCAGCAATCATTGACTTGCTCCTTCCACTCTGGCTTACATTCATTCTCCGCTGGCCGTCTTTTGCAATGACGATGGAGATCGTGCGCAACATGGATCTTACTACTGATCGTGGCCGGCACGGCAGTAAATATCACCCATATACGACTGACTCGCTTCTATCCTCTCAGTAGCACTGAGCGGAGCTGCAGCATAGCTACAAGCGGGGGACGATGGCTCCCGTGGCATACGCGGCAATGAGGAACCAGAACAATAGATTGCAGACTATAACCATATCCTATTCAACCAAGAAGGTTCTCTAATCACAAACCCCCAATCATTTTCTCTCCAAATCCACAATGGCATCCTCCCTTCCCCAAACAATCCGCTCCGCATTCTTCCACGACAAAGGCGACCTCCGAATCGAACAAGTCGAGCATCCACCTCTCTTACCAGGCCATATCGCAATCGAGAATAAATTCTGTGGACTCTGTGGCAGTGATTTACATTTTTTCCATGAGCAGATGTTTGCGGATACTTTGAAGACTCCGCATCCGATTACGGGGGCCAATTTGCCGATTGCGATGGGACATGAGTTTTCGGGGGTTGTGAGGGCTGTTGGGGAGGGGTGTAAGGGGGGTTTGAAGGTAAGTTGTTGCATTCCTACTTTTGGGGTTGGTCTTGGGTGTTGTGGGAGTTTGGGGTGATTGCGATGAGGATTGAGGGATATGCTGATGTTGAAAGCGTTGGAAATTTAGGTCGGTGACAAAGTCGCTGTCATGCCTACGATTTTCGATGGGAGCTGTTCAGCTTGTAAGACTGGAGCGACGAATGTTTGTCGGCAGACGGGGTTTTATGGGATCAATACTAAGACTGGAGGGATGGGTGACGGGGCTGTGATTCCGGAGGATTTGGTTTTTAAGTTGCCGGAGGGCATCGATTGTGATGTTGGAGGTATTGTGTTCGGTGTAGCATCTCGGTATGAGTTGATTCGCTGATGATTATTTCTAGCACTTGTTGAGCCTTTGGCTGTGGCATGGCATGGCATTAGTCTGGTGCGTGACCAGATTACGGAGGATTCGACGGCGTTGATTATTGGTGAGACATCGTAACATCGAAGAGAGTTCGATCAAAGTCACTGATCATATTTCGCTTCGCAGGTGGTGGTCCGATTGGAGCTGCAACACTTCTTGGACTACGAGCCAAAGGCGTGACTCGGATCGCGGTGTCCGAGCCAACACTGAGCCGAAGAGAATTCGCCCTGCAACTAGGAGCCACCGCATCGTACAATCCCTTGACCGATAACGTTCCCGCTGAAGCCCCCAAATCTCTCGGTGCACCTGATGGTGTCGACATGGTGTTCGATTGCGCAGGCGTTGGACCTACGATGGATACCGGGCTCGCGTGCTTGCGTGCCAAAGGCACTCTGATTAATCTCTTCGTGTCGACCAATGCGACAACTTACTATTCATTCCCGATGATATCGAAGGAGATCACCATGTCCAGTAGCTTGGCATATTTATCGAGCGACTTTAGAGAAGTCATTGCGGCGATAGAGACAGGGAAGATGGATCCTCGTCCTTTGATTACGAAGAGGATCAGGCTGGAGGATGTTGTCAAGGAAGGGCTGGAAACTTTGACTCAGAAGGATAATCAGAATTGCAAGATCTTGATTGATATGAGCCTATAGGTGAGAATAGATCGGAACAGAAATATTGCCATAGACAAGATTTTTAGCAAGACTTATACTGCCATTCTTCGAGGTGAGCATTCTGCTCGGCACCCACGCACTTCAGCTCGGGATTTCATATTCCCTCCAACCCTCTGTGCTGAACAAAATCACCACCATGTTACTTCTCGCTGCAGGAGTCAATGTTGATACATACTTGCGCAGAGCAGCCAACGTCGCGGCCCCGCAAGGCCCAGCATTGACTTCGTTCTTCTTGAAGAACTTGACACTTTCGTGCGATTCCTGGTCGGTCACGGTCACCGCGGCTGTCACTCCGGTCTTCAGAATAGGCCATGCGATCTGAGATGTGGTACCGCAGTTCATGCCAGCCATGATCGTATCGTCAGTCTCAATAGGAGTTAGTTCGCCAACGTGCAGAGACTCTTTCAACGACGCAGCAGTGTCAGGCTCCACGGCGATGATGTCGTTGTTTGGATTGGCAGCTTTATAGTGCGCCACTGTTGAGTGAGCCCAGCTGCCCACTCCGACAGACACGAAAAATGTGTTTGGTTTGGCATCGTTCGCCAGGGCTGCCACTTGTCGGCCCGCTTCTGTAAGCATCGTACTGTAGCCGTCCGTTACCCACTTCAAAAATTGTTAGTTGAAGCAGAAATCACCAAAACAGGCTTCATCTCACCTTTGGAATCTCCGTATACCCTTCCCAACTGACATCCATCACCATCAAAGCGCCAGTCTCCTCCGAATCACGCCTGGTAGCAGCAATGGAATCATCGTAGCTCCCACCTTCCAAAACCTTGACCTCCGCACCTTCGCCGCGCAGCAAGTTCTGGGTATACTCGCTCATGAATCCTGGTACATATATCGTCAAGGGCAGTCCATAGATCTTCGCCATCCTTCCGCAAGCCCGACCCCAATTGCCTTCGGAGCATGTGACGAGTCGGATCGACTGATCTTGGTTCTTCAATATATTATCCTTGAGTTGCTTCAGAGTAGTAGAGGCCGGAAGGCCCATTTGCTTGCAGACAGTTCGATGAACCGCGTAACTGGCGCCTAGGACCTTGAAAGCTGGAAGTCCAAAACGTGTAGATTCGTCCTTGATGAACACTCGAGCGAGGCCGAGCTCCTTAGCCACCGTGGGTAAATCGTGTAGCTGTGTTTCATTGTAATCTGGTAGAGTGCGATGAAAGGCTTCCACACCAGGATCCACTTGTTCGCGAGACCATCCTTGTGTCGTGTGGTGTGGGTTGTGAAGCATCCAGGGCCGTGAGAAGTCCTGACCAGAATTGAGATGTTTGACATTATAATCTTCCATCTTTGCTTGGCTTGAGAGTGCTGGGATCGTGGGGATGGTGTCTTGCAGCTTGATGGTAATATGGAAGAAGTATGGCTAGCAAGAAAGTTGGTAGAATTTGTACTTAGCTTTCACTGCTTAAACCTGCCTCCAAAGGCAACGCAGTTGTCTACAGGGCGCGTGTATTCAATGGGTCTTGGCTCCCTCACGTGTTCCACAACGATGCGTGAAGTAGGTGTGAGATGTACTGTACTATTGGAAGGAAGCCATCACTGGAGATCCCGGACCGGGTACCAGCTGATTCAGCAAGACGCACGGATGCTCGGCGAGTGAAAGAAAAGCCGACGGGAAGTGGCAGCTTTGGCCGAGAGGAAGCAGCTTGCCCGCCAATGCACGTCTCCGTCACAGCACTATCATGTCCACCACGGCGTGTTGATGCTCTCTCCATGGCGAAGAGCGGACCGATAGGCCTTCTTTGAGCACGCAACGGTCAAGTCTGGCATATACATATCACTGACTTGCCTTCGTCTACTCCAATCTCGCACCACTCTATACCCCTCCACATTATCCCACTTCTAGCGTCTCGACAACTCATGCTGAAGAATATTAGACTTGACCTCTTTCTGTAATCTCTGCAGACCTTCGAAAGCATTGCAGCCATGGGAGCTACCACAAACGGCCAGGTCAATGGCACCTCAAGAGGCATCCGGATAGCCATCGACCGAGGTGGGACCTTCACAGATTGTGTCGGCAACCCAGGGACGGGTAAGATGGAGGATGATGTTTTGATCAAGCTCCTGTCTGTCGACCCTCAAAACTACGATGATGCACCACTCGAGGGTATTCGACGTCTACTCGAGAAGTTTACCGGTCAGGACATTCCCCGAGGGCAGCCATTAGACACGAGCAAGATCGAAAGCATTCGCATGGGCACGACTGTCGCGACAAATGCGTTGTTGGAAAGGAAAGGAGAAGATATTGCTATGGTAGTCACGAAAGGCTTCAAGGACTGTTTGGAAATCGGCAACCAGAGTCGGCCGAACATCTTCGACCTTGCGATCAGGAAGCCGGAAGTGCTGTACAAGAAAGTGGTCGAGATCGATGAGCGAGTCACACTAGAGGATTATGCTGAGGATCCAGAACGTCGTACGACGGAAGCTGAGGCAGTAGATGGAGCAAAGAGAAACGCAGAATTGGTTAAAGGCCTATCGGGAGAGACAGTACGAATACTACAGAGGCCAGATGAGGAGCGCATACGACAGCAGCTGCAAGAGGTGTATGATTCTGGATTGAAGAGCATAGCAGTATGTCTCATGCATGGATACACATACCCGCAGCACGAGGCGCTAGTGGGTAAGATCGCGAGAGACATCGGGTTCGAGCACGTCTCGCTATCGTCTGAGCTGATGCCTATGATCAAGCTGGTGCCGAGAGCGACTTCGGCTTGTGCTGATGCATATCTTACTCCAGCGATCCGCAAATACATTGACGGCTTCCAGAAAGGCTTCGAGGGCGGACTGGGAACAGAAAGCGTGAAGAACGAAAGTGGCTCGAAAGGAGCACGTTGCGAGTTCATGCAGTCGGATGGAGGACTTGTTGATGTTGATGGCTTCAGTGGTCTGCGAGCCATTCTTTCTGGGCCAGCGGGAGGTGTTGTCGGATATGCGCTTACGAGTTACGACCCTGAGACGCAGATTCCAGTGATCGGTTTCGACATGGGAGGAACCAGTACTGATGTGTCAAGATATGGCAATGGGCGTTATGATCACGTTTTTGAGACGACAACGGCCGGCGTCACGATCCAGTCTCCTCAACTGGACATCAACACAGTGGCTGCTGGTGGTGGCTCTCGGCTTTTCTTCCGAAACGGTCTGTTCGTGGTTGGCCCGGAGAGTGCGAGTGCACATCCTGGTCCTGCATGCTACCGCAAAGGCGGCCCATTGACTATCACAGACGCCAACTTGCTGCTCGGCAGGTTATTACCTGACTTCTTCCCCAAGATCTTTGGCAAGAACGAAGATGAGGGCCTGGACGAGCAAGCAAGTGAGACCGCCTTCATGGAGCTGACGGAAAAGATCAACAAAGAGAATGCCGCTGGTAACAAGGAGAAGGAAATGGATATGGATGAGGTCGCCTATGGCTTTCTCAAAATCGCCAACGAGACCATGACTCGGCCGATTCGATCTCTCACCGAAGCACGAGGACACGACACCAGCAAGCACAGGCTCGCGACGTTTGGTGGCGCAGGTGGACAGCATGCAGTCGCCATCGCCGAAGCGCTCGGCATAACACAGATTTTGGTCCATCGCTATTCTTCAGTCCTATCTGCATACGGCATGGCGCTAGCAGATGTCGTAGACGAGCGACAAGAGCCTGAGTCACGTATCTGGTCTGACAAAGATCAAGAGACCAGGCAATACCTGCAAGACAAAATGGCCGAGCTCAAGAAGAAGTCGACCGCAACACTCAAGGACCAAGGGTTTTCTGAAGATCAAATTCATTTCGAAGAGTATCTCAATATGAGATACCGCGGAACAGAATCAGCGCTCATGATCGTCAGACCCAGTAAGCAAGAAGCGAGCAAGGACTACGATGGTGACGATTGGGCGTTTGGCAAGGCCTTTGTGAAACAACACGAGCAAGAATTCGGCTTCACGCTACCAGACCGCGATATAATCATCGACGACGTGCGTGCTCGAGGCATCGGCAAGACCTTCGAGGGTCTTGAAAAGACTGTCGATCAGCAACTCAAAGAAGTCAAGCCAAAGGATCTACAGAAAGGCGACAAGACCTATGGTAGTAAGTCGGTGTACTTTGAGGGCGGGAGGCAGGATACTGCTATCTACAAGCTGGAAGATCTGGCTGTCGGAGATCGTATCAAGGGACCTGCAATCATTGCTGATGGCACCCAAACCATTGTCGTCACGCCGAATGCTTCTGCTCTGCTCATCGACACGCACGTGGTGATCAATCTCGGCGAAGTTGATGCACAGGAGAAGAAAGTGGAGACGAAGAACGTTGATCCGATCATGCTTTCGATCTTTGCTCACAGGTTCATGGCCATTGCTGAGCAAATGGGTCGTGCATTGCAAAAGACTTCTGTTTCTACTAACGTCAAGGAGCGCCTCGACTACTCTTGCGCTTTATTCGACGCCGATGGAGGTCTCGTTGCAAACGCACCACATCTTCCAGTCCATCTCGGAAGCATGTCCACCTGTGTTCGCAAACAAGCCGAAATATGGAAAGGAAAGCTAAAGAAAGGCGATGTGCTGGTTTCAAACCATCCCATGTTCGGCGGGACACATCTACCTGATATCACTGTCATCACACCCGCCTTCTCCGGTGACAACATCGTCTTCTACGTCGCATCACGAGCTCATCATGCAGACATTGGTGGTATCTTACCCGGCTCTATGCCTCCACACAGTCGAGAACTCTTCCAGGAAGGCGCAGCGATCAAGACTGAGAAGCTCGTATCGGAAGGTCACTTCAACGAAGAACGCATCACCGAACTCTTACTCACTGAGCCTGCGCAGTATCCGGGTTGTTCCGGCACGCGTTGTCTTGCAGATAACCTGAACGATCTCAAAGCACAAATCGCCGCTAACCAAAAAGGTATCAACCTCATTTCTACATTGATCGAAGATTATACCGAAGATGTTGTACAATTCTACATGCACAGCATTCAGGATAATGCCGAACTTTCTGTTCGGAATCTACTCAAAGACGTCTCCTCTCGTTTCGAAGGCCAAGACCTCTCCGCCATCGATTTTATGGATGATGGCTCTCCCATTCAACTCAAAATCACCATCGATGCCGAAAAGGGTGAAGCAGTATTTGATTTTACCGGCACGGGACCGGAAGTTTACGCCAACTGGAATGCGCCTGAAGCTGTGACTTATTCTGCCATCATCTACTGCTTACGATGTCTGATCAAAGAAGACATTCCGCTGAATCAAGGCTGTTTGAAACCCGTCAAAGTCATCATTCCTCCGAAATCATTCTTGTCGCCTTCCGGGACTGCAGCTGTCGTAGGCGGGAATGTCTTAACATCGCAGCGTGTTACGGATGTGGTATTGAAAGCTTTCCGCGCTTGTGCAGCTTCTCAAGGCGATACGAATAATCTCACCTTCGGCTTCGGCGGTAACGTTTCTGGACAAGAAGCTGTCAAAGGTTTTGGGTATTATGAGACGATTGCAGGTGGAAGTGGTGCTGGGTCGACATGGGATGGAACGAATGGTGTGCATACACATATGACGAATACTCGAATCACGGATGCGGAAGTCTTTGAGAGGAGGTATCCGGTTGTTTTGAGGGAGTTTAGTTTGAGAGAGGGAAGTCATGGGAAGGGACAACATAAGGGAGGGGATGGTGTGATTCGTGATATTGAGTTTAGGATTCCGGTGCAGGTTTCGATTTTGTCGGAGAGGAGGGTTTATCATCCTTATGGGTTGGAGGGAGGAGAGGATGCGCAGTGTGGGAAGAATATTTGGGTGAGGAAGGTGAAGAAGGTGAAAGGGTCGGATGCGGATGTTAATGGAAAGAAGGGCGAGAATGGGGATGTGGGTGCTGAGAAGGAGGAGGAAAGGTATATCTCGCTTGGGGCGAAGAATACTGCGGCTATGCAGGCGGGAGAGCGTATTATTGTTATGACGCCGGGTGGTGGAGGTTGGGGCCCTATTGGTAAGGCCTCTGAAGCAGAGAGACAAAAGGATCCGAAAGAGAGCTGGAAGGGTGGATCGGTCGCTGCTCGGCAAGCGGAGGGCGAAGCCAGTGCGTGATGGTGTGTGACTGGATTTCACTGCGATTGAGTCAGTTGTGGCTGTGAGTGGGTTGTCTGTTTTCAAGCATCCAGTGATCGGCGCTTCGAACTTTGGGGAGGCTGAGTGGCGCTGCAGCGAACGATTGGAGAGGCCGCCGACACATCGATCAGCTGGAATCTTGAATGACTACTGTAGTTAGAGCGCGCCATGAGATCCATATTTGAGTCGAATGCCATGTGCACGATAGTTTCACAGTTTCTGACGAAGGAACACTCAAGCATGCATGTTCTGGTCATAGGAGCCGGCTTCACGGGACTGGCGATAGCCCAAGGTCTGCGAAAACATGGAATCTCTTGCACAGTCTTTGAACGTAGCTCAAGCAATGAGCCTATCCGAGACTGGTCTATGCGAATGGATTGCGAAAGAGAGAAAGAGCTCCTGGAGACACTGCCCAAGGATATCTCCGATCGTTGGAAGGACGAATGCGAGATCAACTTCGGCGACGAGTCGGGTCAACGATCATTTCCAGAGCGTGATGCGAAAAGTGTCGCCGTACTTGTTGAAGCATGTGACCCGGGTTGGAGGCGTGTATCAAGAGCGAGAACGTTGAGATTGTTGGGAGCTGGACTTGATATCAGGCATGACAAGAAACTGATCGACATCATCACAAGTAAGCGTGGGGTCAGAGTCCTGTTCGAAGACGGGTCAGGCGCGTCGGGAGATGTCGTCGTCGGTGCTGATGGCGCCGACTCGTTCGTGCGGTCCTGGCTGTTCGATCATGCGGAGTCTGCGAGAGCCAAGCCGCTTCAAGTGATTGCCTATCACTTTTCGGCTTCGGTTCCAGCGGACGTTGCGCTCATGCTGAGGGAACAATGTGGTAGGAGTCAATGTTATGCGTTTCATCCGGATCGTTCAAGCTGCATGTCCATCACAATACTGGACGCGTCAGAGAATGTATCGCCAGAGCGCTGGGTATTTCAGATGGCTCTGACCCACTGGGAAGACGCAGAAAAGACGCCTGAGACATCGGAAGAACGACTTCAACACTTCAAAGACCTAGGACAGACATTTGTCGAGCCTTTCAAAGCGGCTTCTCAAGCAATACCGATCGGAACAGACGTGCCGCGCGACCGCTGGAAGCGATGGGAAGAGCCTTCGCTTTGGGACAGCCGCCGGGGCAGAGTGACTCTGGCGGGTGAAGCAGCACATCCATTTCCACCTCGTAAGTGCCTTCTGAACTCTTCCAGGCTACGCTCGCGCTGACCAGCGTCTGCAGATCAAGAAAGGGCTCTGAACCATGCAGTCGAAGATGCTGTACGATACGTGGCAGCCATCGCCACTGGCCTTCTGAAGTCAAAGGCCTCGAAAAAGACATCGTACGAGACAGCAATTTACCAGCGTGGCAGTCGTGGGGTCGCAATGTCAATCCGGTATAGGTACGATGCGGCCTATTTTGACCCGTAGTGCCTGCCGTGGGCTGAGCAGGTCGGATTCGACTCAAGCCATTCCAGTGTGCAGCAAAGCCATGGAGATTCAGGGTGTCTAGCAGTACACTGGATGTGTGCATCAGCATAGCTTCATAGATTCATTCATGTAGGGATGTCAGTCGTGTAAGCCCGTCTTGAGCCCCAGACGAGGTCAATCGGCCGAGCCATGTCTGCCTCAGGCTTCCATAGTCACGTGACGAGACATCGGTCGTAGATTCGTTGTATGGCACCGGAAGGTGTAGAAAAGCGCGAAAAGTCGAGTGAATGATCTTTCGGACGACACTCCGTCGAGATCAAGCGCGAGAATTGAAGTCACGGCGTGAGCAATTGCCAATGTGCAGGCAGTAGCGCCGGGTATGCGGTTGGCGAACAGGCGGTCGAGGCTCATTCCGATGTTGGTCGGCGGCACTACTCAGCCGATGTCTCTGACGACCGGCTGTCATGCATGTGACGGTGGTGCTGTCGCTGTTCTGTGTATGCTCTGCTTTCGCTATGAACGTCTGTCGTAGGAAATGGGCGGTGGTGGTCTAACGGGGAGCGTTTGTCGAAGGATGCGGGCGTCGGGTGCTCGGCAGTTCCCCTTCCTCTCCACGGCTGGATGCGTTCTGTTGATGTCGATGCTGCACACGCGCCTGGGCCTGGACGATTCCAAGGACGACACGACGGCCTGCCCATCTCAGGATCACGGTATGTCATGCTGCTCTCTCTTCACGCTCTATTCTCGACTTCGCTGCGCGCGCGCCCCTTCACTCACCCTCTCCGCGCGCTCGCTCGCTCGCCCTACAGCAGCAATGCGACCACTCGCTTTGCTACGCCCGCGCACGCCAACCGCTGCCCGTGTCACAGCCCATCGTCCCCCCGACATGTGACATTGTCTGCGCAGTCTACTGATGGCCCGTATAGCGTCGCGAGCAGTCTTGATGACCGCCTCACGCGTCTAGTCCCTACCGCTCCGCCCTCCATCCCCAACACCGCCGACCACCATGGCCACGACGCCTTCCACCGCGGTCGGCCCCAACAATAACGCGACCAGTGCCGCTCCTACCCCCGACAATAATAACCATGATGGCGCGTCGACCGCGGATCAACAACCGGGCACGAATACTGATGGCCAGGACGCGATTCGGGAAGGCAAACAAAAAGCCAAAGAAACCATGCAAGCTCAAGGGCTAGCGACAAATGCTTCGCCCGCACAAACTGGCACCACCAATGGCTCCGCGCAGTCCAATGGCACTCCTCAGCTAAGTCGGAAGCGATCGCGCGATGGCACACAACTACCTGTGAGCGCGACCACGAATGAGCCTCAGCCGGCGCACGATGAAGTTCTGCTGGACCGATATATTCAGCGGGATCTCCTGTATGGCGCTGCTATGAATGACCAGTCGCAGCGATCGCGCGATCTTCTGTTGGCCAAGGAGAAGGAGAAGGAATTCTACATGACTGAGGTCGCTGCGCGCCGGCGGACCAATCCAGGCTCAGTATATGGCTATGGGTTCGCAGGGTATGGCAATGGCAGAACGGATGCGAAATCGCAAATCGTCTATAGCTCCAACCGGGGACCGCCAAAGGGCCGGAGGTCAAAACAGATCCACATCAACCGCAGGGACTTGCAACAGCAGGCCGAGCAGCATGAAGAGCTCGTCCCGGTACGATTGGACATCGAGCTGGACAAGTTGAGGTTGCGCGACACCTTCACATGGAACCTGCACGAGAAATGCATCAGTCCGGACATCTTCATGGAATACCTTCTCGAGGACCTTAAGATTCCACCGGAAAACCTGCGTGAAGTGTCGCAGCAAATCAAGGCGGAGATGCAGGAACAGCTTCAAAACTACTATCCACACATAATCGTCGAAGATGGCCCTGTGGAAGCTGGCGTTCCGTATTCTGGTCACAAGGACGACGAGATGCGAATACAGATCAAGTTGAACATCACGATCGGACGAATAACACTCGTCGATCAGTTTGAATGGGACATCAACAATCCTCTGAATTCGCCCGAAGAATTCGCTGCATCCATGGCCAAAGAAAACGCTCTCTCCGGCGAATTTACGACGGCTATCGCACACTCAATACGAGAACAGAGCCAACAATATACCAAAGCACTTTATCTCACGAACCACCCCTTTGACGGACGACCAATCGAGGACCCAGAACTGAGAGATAATTTCCTACCAGCACCCATCCATAGTGCGTTCCGACCTGTACAAACACAGAAAGATTTCACGCCGTACATGTACGAAATGAGCGAAGCCGAGCTTGAACGAACCGAGACATCTATGATGCGCGAGCACCGAGCACAGAAACGACAGCTGAACCGTCGGGGTGGGCCGGCTTTGCCTGACCTGCGCGAGAGGCCGAGAACGGTCAGGTCCCTCATCGTGCATTCCGTCATTCCTGGTGCGGTGGAGACATTTGACACGACTGGGATACCCAAGACCAGGCGCGGCGGAAGAGGTGGACGCCGTAGTGGCCGGGCTGCTGATGGCGATATCGACTCTGATGATCTGGACAGCGAAGATTCTGGTGCGGAGCAGCAATCTCCTGCGCCTTCGGCCATGATGAACACGGGAGGCACCGCGAGAACCCGTGGCATGCGTGGTGCCGCCGCGCAAGCGCAAGCGAACATGCGCGCTGGATACGGTCGATCAGCAACGCCCGATTCACAAGCCATGGCTGCACCGGCGCGAGAAACACGAACTGCTCCCGAAAGGTCGAGTCGATTGCGAGAAGAAAGCGCTGCGGTTCTGGACGAGGATGAAACGTTGATCGTCAAGCTGAAGATTGGCAAAGCCAAGTTGAAAGCGTTCTGGGACGCTTTGCAGGCCAAGAAACGCGCGAAAGAATTCCCACTGTCCGGCTATGCCTCTGGACCATCGCTGGGACCTGGTCTCCAGCCTGGCACACCTGCGCGAGGAGCCACCAGCACTCCGAACATGACCCCACGAACGCTGCCACCCCGGAGTACACCGCAGCCCAACGGCAACCACTCTCGGGCGCCATCAACAGCACGGCAGGCACGGGCCGGTTCAAGTGCGAATGTGAGTTACGACTCACGCGGCGCTGTCGACATAGCACGTTGGCCAGCGCCGGATGATGATGCGGTAAGTCTTGAATGGATTGACACCCACTCTGCGCATCTGCTAATCAGCTTCACAGCCCGCCCCTCCGCCCTGGCTCAATGAAGCTATCGAGACTCTGCGCGCCGAGCACCCTGACGACAACTTCATGCCCTTCATGCGAGCGTATATGATCGACGTCGAGACTGGAAGTATCACAAAGGGCAAGCAACCTCCCACTGTCGGCGGCACCGCTCCAGCTGGGATTAAATACCAGTACCTGCCCCGGATTCGATGCAATGATTGTCCTGGCAAGCTGTACACGGCGGTGCCTGACAAAGTCATTCAAGATTTCTCTGTCCATCTGCGAAATCGCGTACACAGGGAGATGGTGTTGGCACGAAAAGAGGGCAGGACACCGAAAGTTGGAAATTAATGATGCCAGGCGGCAAAGACCAGCCGCAGCTGTGAAGCACATTGATGATAGAAATCGTGTTGAATGAACAAAAGTCACATGCAGTTGTGTCCTGCTTTGTGCAGATGTTTTCGTAACGTAGCGAAAGTTGTATAGAGGAACGAGTGATGTTCGTTGTGTGCAGCTGTTTTTTCGTTTCAAGATGGGCAAACTGTGTTTTCTGCTGTATATGATGCTCTCTACGTGTGGTGCTATTGTTGACCATTTTGATGCCATGAACTGGTGTCTGAGTCCGAGTGGGCCACTCAACCGTGCAATGCACCAATCATGTGCTGTTGGCATTCACCTCAGAGCTTCACAAACATGAGCTAGCGCCGAGCTTAAAGCGGCCAATGGACTTTGGCTCGCTCTTCGAACCGTGTGTCGCGTGTTGTATATAATGCTGCCCGCGTCTGGTGCAGTCGGTGATCTTTATGATGCTATTAGATGGTGTATGAGTTGTTTGCATGGCCCATCAGATGCCTCAGCGCGGTGCGATGCATCAATGTGCCACGGTCGTTCACCTCGGGGGCTCGCAAACATGAATTAGCGCCGAGCTCGATTTAGCCAATGACGAGGGACTTTGCTGGCTCTCGATGTCGCACCCGCGCATTCTTACATGAGCTAGCGTCTGGGCTCTATCTGCCAATCAAAAATCACACCATACATGATGTCACTCCGGAGCGAGAGAAACATCCAATGTCAGCATGACAACCATTCCACAAGCAACCGTTCCACAAGTGTATGCACGCGGATATCACCACGTAGGCAGAGGTAGGTTGCCAGTCTTTCCTTTGCAAACTACTGACTCGCAGGAACTCCTACCTGCGACCGACTTCGGCAATGGCCCAAACCTCGCCCAGCGAAAACACGTCTCCCGTTGATCCTCTGGGCATGAGACGGTCAACGGGTTACATGCCTGTCGAGAACTATGGGCTCATTGGCAATATGCACACTGCGGCTCTCGTTGCTACTGATGGAGGGCTCGACTTCATGTGCTGGCCGAACTTCGACTCGCCCAGCGTTTTTTGTCGCATGCTCGACAAGGATAAGGGTGGCCATTTTACGATTTCGCCTGTTCCACTTACTGGTACCAAGAACGGAGGTTTGACGACAAAACAGCAGTATCTTCCGAGCAGTAACATCTTGGCGACCAGTTATCTGAACGATGATGGCGTGATGAGGAGTATTGATTTCTTCCCACGACCTAAGTATACGAAAGACACGGATGGTGAGCCACAGCAGCTGAAGAAGTGGCTTGTGAGGAGAGTTGAATGTGTCCGTGGCGAAATTGAGTTTGTGGTGAGAGTACTACCTGCTTTCAACTACGCTCGCGACCGACATGTCGTTGAGTTCAATGAACATCACAAGGAAGGAGAATCCGGAGTCTGTACCTTCAGGAGCGATACTCTGGCACTGGACTTCTACGTCACGGAAGACTTGCCCGACGACGATGGACAAAGACCACAAATACGATTTGAGACAGCGCCCGGGCATGGGCTGGGCCGTGCGATTGAGGCCAGAGTGCGGATGCAGGAAGGGCAGAGTTGTTCTTTCGTGCTTCGCGATCATGACCCGGAGACTGAACTCTGGGCACCCGAAAAGGCGATTACTTCGCCTCTGATTGACCGACTTCAACGAGATACGAAAGATTATTGGTATAACTGGATGTCGCAGTCATGCTACAAAGGTCGATGGCAAGAAGCTGTACAGCGCAGCTTGCTGACGTTGAAATTGCTGACACATGAACCAACGGGTGCTATCATCGCGTCACCGACTTTCTCGTTGCCAGAGGTATACTGTGTTACTTGGTCTCCTGATGTGTCGAGCTAACCGCGTTACAGGCTTTTGGAGGCAGTCGAAACTGGGACTACCGCTTCTCATGGGTTCGTGACAGCAGCTTCACTATCTACATCTTCTTGCGAATGGGCTTCCGGCAAGAAGCAGAAGCTTATATGGAGTTCATCCGCAAGCGACTCATGCACTCCCGGCTGCCGAGCGGCGCGCTGCCAATCATGTTCGACATACACGGCGACACAGATCTGCCTGAGATCGAACTCGACCATCTCGAAGGCTATCGACAAAGTGCGCCAGTGCGAATAGGTAATGGAGCTGCGAACCACAAACAGCTCGACATCTACGGCGAGCTCACAGACGCCGTCTACCTGTACAACAAATACGGCAAACCCATTTCCTACGATGCATGGCTCTCCGTCCGCGAAATGACCGACTTCGTCTGCGGCGTCTGGAAAGAAAAAGACATGTCAATCTGGGAAGTCCGCGGCGAAATTCAAAATTTCGTCTACTCCAAAATCATGCTCTGGGTCGCCATCGACCGCGCTTTACGTCTAGCCGACAAACGAAACTTCCCTTGCCCGAATCGCTGGACATGGCTCGCCACTCGTGATCAAATCATGGAAGACGTGATGGAGAAAGGCTACAGCAAAGAACTCGAAAGTTTTGTCCAAAGTTACGAACACCCCGAAGCAATCGACAGTGCAGTCCTCATCGCCCCTTTAGTCTTCTTCGTTGCACCCAACGATCCCCGCTTCACCAAAACCCTCGATCGTATCCTCCTCCCACCCGAACGAGGAGGTCTCACGAGTAACGGCCAAGTCTATCGCTATAATCTGAAAGCCAGCAACGACGGCTTATCCGGTGACGAAGGCGCTTTCAGTATGTGTACGTTCTGGCTTGTTGAAGCTCTGACGCGTGCGGGAGCGTATGAGCCGAAGTATTTGGAGAAAGCTGTGAGTTTGTTTGAGAATACTTTGGGTTTTGCGAATCATTTGAATATGTTCAGCGAGGAGATTAGTAAGAGTGGGGAGCAGTTGGGGAATACGCCGCAGGCTTTTAGTCATTTGGCACTGGTTAGTGCGGCGTTTAATTTGAGTCGTGTTACGGGGAGGGGTTGAGGAGGATTGGAAGTACTGTATGCGGAATAGTGCAGGTTGGTAGGACAACAGGGAACGCCCGGATGCCTGTAGGCCTGCTCGAGGGCATCATCTGCGGAAAGTATGTGCTTCGTTACTGAGCCGTCAGTTATGCTCTGGGGTTCTATTTTACACTGACTCCTGGGTGCATGCATTTACGGGCGAGGACCTCCTCACCAGCGCACCCTATGCTCATGCATCATGCCTCATGCTTCATATTTCCATCCCAACTGGACTGTGGGTTTCTAGCTGCGCGCTTCAAAACGATCAAACCCGACGATGCAAGATCAACAATGCTTTGTGCTCAAAGACTCTCAAATGCGAAATCCTTTTCGAATCACGCCTCCGCCCTCATGACCATGGACCATTCATCTGGACATTCTGGTAATTCGTCTGCCTGGTAGTCCCGTCCGGTCAGCTAAGTCCATGGAATCCAGGGTCTCCAGTTCAGTCACTCACTGGACGTCTTTGGTCTGGATCACATGGGTGACCATCTTTCCCGTTCCCCGGATCTGAGCAGCCACGGCACTGGGATGGATGACGTTCAAGGTGACCATAGCCAACCACATGAGAAGGGCGTCAAAAACGTAGAGGTACCACTCGCGGGAAAGGATGTAGCCGGAGAAGCCTTGTGCGTATTCGACCATGCGGACGATCGATCGAACGAAGATCAGGATGCTCACAATGTAGAGCGAAATCATGTGCTTCTCCCAGGGAAGACCTCGAAGAGATTCAGTCTGGAAGAAAAAAAAAAGTGTCAGCAAAAGTCGAAAGCTGCGAAAGCGTCCACGTCCACTCACCCTGCTGACCGAATTCCTGCTCCTCATCTTCAAATGCCAAGTCACACCTGTGAAAACAAACAAGCCAAAAAATGCAATTTGCACTCCGAGGCCAGCGAGAACGAGTGTTTCTCCAGTTTCCACACTACTAGTGGCCATCAGCCCTCCACCGGAAGCCTGCATCATAAAAGAGAGCACATCGCCCGCCACGAAGACTTTCGTCAACCACGTCGTCTTAATCAACCCGAACAACAATTTCTCATCTTTCTGTCCACCATTCACCATTCTCACCACTCGTCCCAGATGCATATACACACTCGCTGCGAAAAGTGCCGGAGCGACGAGAATGAGAGTGCTTTGTACGATGTAAGGTCCGAGAGTCCATTCTCCGTTCTCTTGGGTTGCGGAAACTGCGCGAGCGATGTAGCCGATTGATTGGAAGAAGCCGCCGATGAGGAAGGGGATCATGTAGAGGGTTCGAGTGCGGATTAGTTGGTAGGTGTGGAGGGCTGTGGTGGCGATGAAGAGGAGGGTGAAGATTATGGCGGCGGCGAGCGAGGGGGAGTAGCGGTAGAATTCGAAGTCGGCGAAGGCATCGTTCTCGGAGGAGGGCTCTGCTGCTTGGCGGGTGAGGAGGTGGTGGAGGATTTTGTTGATGAGAGGTGCCATGATGGGCACGTTGCGTGCCTTTTGGCCTTTCTTGTCGTTCGTTCGATGAAGTTGTGGTCGATTTTATCGATCGGGGGGTGACTGATCGTATGTTTTGATGTTCGGCGCCGAAAAGTCGCGAGCGCAGTTTTGACTGTCGTGTCAACGATCGTGAAGCGTCGGAAGTTATTGTCTGCAACGCAATGTCGACAGCGTGCGCGATGAGTGTGAAAGGCAGAAGGTCCCACAAAGACTATATATCGCAGCCACAACATCGCGTCCTTTCCCCAATTCTTTAGTGGAGCCCATTGCCGTTTGTTTGCACTTTCGTCGTTTGGTGTCGCGACAGTCGGATATATGTCGCGAGGGATACGACGAATACGATGCCTGTCCAAGAAAGTGGGTCCAGCTCTAGAATGGAAGGTATGATTGGCCAGATTGACTCGCGCTGTGCAGTTCTTGGCTAGAAACATTCTGCTTCGCCGCCACATGAAGGCGTATTGGCGTATTCTGGCGTATACAGAGCGTATGTTCGGTGGTAGCGAAGAATGCGGCATGGTGCAGACGCAGTCTTTTTTGAGCTCGTAGGCAGAAGCATTCTGAGCGACGGACTTGGTGAGCGTTGAGGGGGTAGTAATCGCAGGTCTGCGCTCGCGTGGAGGTGCAGAGCACGATGGTACATTCACCAGAAACTTGTTGCCTGATGGCACAGACGAGATCGATCAAAGTGAAGTACCTCACAACACGACCAAAGTCCAAGCAATACTGACACTCCGTCAATGGGCGACGCCACCAGGATGGAACTCAAGCTACTTGAGCACGCAGAGGTCCTCCATTGCAACCCGCCTAGACCGCACGCCCTCTGGCAGTAATAATTTCTGCTCATTCCACGTGAGTGAGATGTCCATTGAGGTGACGTCCTGGAGTTGGCCGAACAAAACACACAAGGAGCGCGATCATCAAGAGAGAAATCGGATTGCTAGGGCCTCAGACAGCCCCAAATTCTTACGAACACTCGCTCGTCACAAGTATGCGACAGTATTGGTACGCCGGAAGAGCATTGGGCGACAGATGGGAGATGGGGGCCTCTGCTATCTGTCGTCAAGAGGGTGATGAATAAGCTCTTCCACAAGATACCTGTTACCTGAGTCGTGATGAAAGGATGCAGGATCTGTCCTGCGCAGTTTGCGTTCAAATGCTGTAGTCAGAGACCAGCTGGAGCGACTGTTGTATGCTGAGAGCTTGGGCGTTGTACCTTGGGACGAACTTTCCATCTGGTCAAGATGCGCCTGTGGTCGCACATTGCGGCAAAACCTGGTCTCTACTTGGGAGCAGTTTGCTAAAGGGCACTTCTTCGTTCGCCTTGGTCCTTTCTCAAGGTGGCATCTCTTTCTCTCTTGGGTGCTTCATCTGATGGGCTGCAGGTTGGGCAATCTTGTAACTTCAAATTGTCTCTGAGTTGCAGGACTTCCACAGGATCTTTTTCCCGCCAGGTGCCTGGTAGATCAATCTGCTCTGGAAATATGCCGTAGTAAGTTCTCTGAGAGCCGATTTTCGAAGCGATCATCTTCGGACAAAGCTCTTTCGTAGAGGCAGAGGCTTCTTAGCTTACGCGACTGGCCTGCTTGTGCTTAGAGCAACTGTCTGCGGGCGTCTATTTCTGCGATCAGGCGCGAGTTCTCTACCCTCGAGGACAGCGAAGAAGCATCATAGCGCTGCAGAGAGCTTTTCGAAATGGAATCACAAGTGGCTCAACCGATGAATGCTCCCAAGGGCTCGCACGTGAGACGCACGCTTGCTTGCATCGCAATGTGGCTGCCGTCTGCTGTGCCACTTCTGGTGGAAATCTGCTGAAGCCGCTACTGCCGTGTGTACTCTTCGTCCGGCTGAAGTTGTCGCGCAAGAGTCCGTGGATCTGGTCACAGGTGAAGTGCGTGCATGATGCACAGAGCTTGGGGCAGCTGCAGTCGCTGCTCGCTCGGCTTGGAAGCGGTGTTGTGCGGCCGCACGTCTGGGGCAGTCTGCAAGTAGCACAAGATGCTGGTAAGTAGAAGGAAATGAAGCGAAGTCCGCAATTGCTGGTCGATGCGTCGCACCTGCACTTTTGATTACTTATCTTGTAAACGTCAGTGGTTCCTGCCAAGATGACAAGGCTGAGAAACGACAACATCACCTGCATCGCCTCTCGACTGGAAAAGTTCTCCTCTTTGCTCGACATCTTCGTTCCTTCATTATGATCCTATGACTCGCCTGATATTGCCCGTCAGCTGGAACCGGAAATCCTGGCAAGAGCAACGAAACTCAACTCGACCTGCCAACGCACCCAAAATCCATGACCCTTGAAGAAAGGTTCCTGAGAGCTGAGAGAGTTGGAAATTATACATGTCATTCTCTGAAGCTTGAACAGGGGCTCATAAGTAGGCTCCTACTTGTAACGTCTGTTTCCGCTCCGCCTCTGACCGCGTGCGTTCCTTTCGTCGCCCAACCATCCACCAACCCGACCAACCTCATGTCGGAAATACCATGCAACTCACATGCAGAGAAATGCCCAAGACACACACATACTGATCGCCAGATCTGATTAAGAGATGATGAACAACAACAAAAAGCTCGCCAAACACCGCCGCCGCCTGTTTCAAATATGCTGGATTTGTCTATCGTCACTTTTCTGATCAATCAAGTCATCTTCGGTGGAGATCTGGTGCGGGCTCCTTCTTGTCCTTGTCCTTCTTGTCTTCATCAGGGATGATCACTTTCCCGTTCTCGTCATACTTCAGCTCTGGAAGGCCTTTCTTCTTGCGCTCTTCGGCTTCGACCTTTCGTCGCTCCTCCTCTTCGGCTTTCCGTTTATCCTCGGCTTCCTTGAGCGCGACCTTCTTGATCTTCTCTTCTGGCGAAAGCGCTTCGAACGCGGCGGTGTCCTCATCCCACTTCCTCACGCACTCGTGGTTCCAGTTGCATTGCTCGACTTCGCCGAAGATGGGGTGGTTGAATCGAGGATGGGTCGTGGGCCAGCCTGACGCGTGGTAGTGGTGCTTGACGAGCGCCTGCTTCGTGTCGTGGGTACCGGAGTCGGAGTGGCCTTGACCAGCAGCGAATGCCTCCACTGTCAGGACGAGGACGCCGCCCACGAGCGTGGACTCGGTCAAGTCGTGGAATCGCTCCCAGCTGACCTTTTCGCCGGTTCGCTGTTCAATATCGTCGAGGATCGCGTTGGTGAAGGCTGAGGGCCCGGTGCCGCTGATGACCTGGTCGAAATCAAGCTTGACCTCGGAAATCGGAACGCCCTGCTGTGCGGCGACGCTTCGCAGCCAGACAATGATGTTCTCAATGAGCTTCATCATGACAGGAAGTCGGGGCTTGCACATGAACGTCCATTGACAGAAGGACTTGCACTTGCTACCCAGTACAGGATGCTGCGAGAACTCTGGCTGATCGATCTCGACACCTACGACCATATCCACGTCCTTCTCGTCCCAGCGAGGAGGAATGAAATTCCTGATCGGACGCAGCGCCTCCACGTCGATATCGGTGTACACGCCGCCCTCAATGTACATGATCATGTATCGCAGCAAGTCGGCCTTGATGATTCGGGCGGTGAGTTCGCGATACACGTACACAATATCCTCGCGATTGAGGCCATCTGGTCCGAAATGCGTCTCGACATAGGCCATGTCGTTCTGGTCCGTGAGGACCTCATATCGGTAGTCTGGGTTCTTCGCGATCCACGATTGCGCCACGTTGTGGTCTCGCTCCTCGAATTTGAGGGGATCCACCTTCCATGTCTGCCAGATCTTTCGCGGGAAGTGTTTGGGTCTCGACTCGAAGAATCCTGGAGCGAATCCTGTATGTGAGCCGGAGAGGAAGAAGACTAATAGGCACAGTGCGAGTAGCGCGGGTATCGTTCGCTGGAGCTGCTTGGGCATGCCAATCTGTGGTATTGATTGCAGGTATTCCCTCGCGCTGTATTTGGGTGGTGCGGCCTTCATTTTCGCGTCGACGGGAAATTCGGTCTTCTCTGCTGGCGTGCGGCTCGACGACCAAGAACGAGCTCGCGGTGCTTGTTGGCCAAACATGGGCAACTCAGGCAAATGCAGTGGCACTCGCATGAGTGCTCAGCGTGGAAGTGGTGTCGCGAACGAAGGTCTGAGTGACAATAAGGGCGGGAGGAGGGCTCGCAGTAAGGGATGCTAATCGGTGAACGAGCAGAGCATCTCCACACTATAGAGAATTGGAGAGGCGGTTGTGGGAGCGACGCGGGCGCGAGAATTGCTACTTTGTCGGATAAGTGTGAAGCATGTCGGCCACGAACTCAATGTGGCGGCTTGCCCCAAGAAAGGCCAGATTTGCAAAGCATAGCGGGCGGATCGAGAACGATACTGGCAAGACCGGCCAAACTTTAAGCGAATTGATTGGCACTGGGATCCCAACCAATTATAGCGGCGCCCTCTCTTCAGCTGCACTCCTGTGGTCGCCGCCGCAAATATAACCAGGAGCACGCTCGACCGTTGATACGCCGGTCAGAGACACACACAAGCAGCAGCAGCGGGCACGACGATGCACCCGTTTGTCCAACAGTCAATCTGCCTCTCATTGCCACCCAGAAAATGCGCAAATAGCAGGGAGCTGGTTAGCTGCAGATGCTTGGCTCTCTACCGAAGTGCTGCAAAACACGCACGCAACGGGCGCATTATGACGACGCGCTTGGCCGAGGTAGGATCTGGCGAGTAGCACAGCACGAGGGCCTGCAGGTGGCTGCTGCAGTGTGCTTGCGCCGCATGTCGACGTGCCTTGTTCACCTGCTTTGCTACCGCGGCCTTCTTTGACATTGGCATCGCCTGGCGCGGAGACCAGTCAACCACCAGACTGGGAGTGCACACTGGCGATTCCATCTGTCCCAGGAGGTGCGTGAAACTAAATGTCGGAGTAATTTTGCGGTGTTTGGCAGGCCGGGCGGTAGCGGCAGAGGAATTTCGGTAGCAGACGTTGAAAAAGCCCCAAGCAGCCAACGCGTGTCTGTGCTTTGATGACTGCTAGTTACCAATTCGCCCTCGCTGCAGCAGCAATCTTGCACCACTCACTGGCGACTGGTCGCATCGCTCCTGCGCCTGCTGACTTGTGCCGCGAGCATCTCACATGGCCTTCGTACTGGAGCAGGGATTACAACATCCCCGCACTTTTCGTGGTGGTGGTGGTCGCTGGTTGTTCCAGGTCCGAGCCTACGAGCCTACAGGACTGGTAGGCTCTGGATACGCTCCACGCAGGAACAAAGCGTCCCAGACTTCCCCTACCCTCCTTCGCTATACGACCGGCGCCGAGGTCCGATGTCTGCCAGACCTCACCCCATCCAGGAGACGGCGAATCAGCTCTCCGCAGCGGGACCAGCCCCCAAGACGCAACTCGGCTGGCGCAGCCGGGGTCGGCAGCAAGCGTTGCGCGTTGCGCCTCACCTGTCACCTCATCCTCTGCACACTTGGCGCTTTTTTCGTCGCCGCCACCCCTTCTGCCGATTCCAGCTACACTCCCGGCGGGCCCGCATTGTGATCGTTGCCCTCGCCGAGCCTCTAACGCGTTACCCTCGAACTCTACTCGAGTGATGTATTTGCCATCGTTTGTCACATGCGGCCCACACACCTCCATCTGCACATTGTAATGCGTTCTGCCTCTCGTCGCCGCTGCCCCTCGCCATAGCACCGTTGCCTCGATGGGCTTCCACGATAACGGCAGAGAAGTCGCCAGGATGAAAGAAGCGCAGCTCGAAGCGGGAGATCTGGAGCCGATGCGCCTGAATCTCCTGGCTCAGGAGGATGACATAAGACGACAGCAGCAACAACAACAACGGCAACAGCAAGGAGACAATGTGATCAGGATACAGGATCTCGCAGCACAGGCGAGCATGCGCGCGGGAGAATACTATGAGAGGATAGATCCTCATGTGCAGACGGCGCGGGCACACGCCTCACGAGTATTTGCTCCTGTAGCAAAAGTCCTCGCGCCTGCAAGAAAAGCCATTGCTCCAGCTGCGGCCGCGGTGGCACCCCTGGTGGGAGTTCTCGCGCCCGTGGCTTCCATGTTCAGGCCTTCATTCCTGCCAAAGCAAAATACTGGCGGGCACCGAAAGCTGAGGAAGACAGCATACCTGGATGGAATCAGAGGATTCGCGGCACTGATGGTGTACTGTCTGCATCATCAGCTATGGGCTCACGCATTCTACGACGGATCGCCGGCGCTCGAGAATACCTTTGGATACAATGGCAAATATTACTTTGCGGCGCTGCCATTCATCCGGACCTTCTTCTCCGGCGGGCATTTCTCAGTGTCCTGCTTCTTGGTCCTCTCAGGATACGTTCTGTCTGTCAAACCACTGCAGTTGATGAGACAAGGAGAATACGTGTTGTTGGGCGACAACGTCTCCGCTTCGCTGTTCAAGCGCTGGCTGCGGCTGTACATTCCCATTATCATTGTGTCCTTCATGATTATGTGCACACCACACTTTTTCGGCATTCACATGAGCTTCGAGCCGCAAAAATCGTGGAAAGACGAAGTTTGGAAGTGGTACTGCGACTGCAAGAACATGTTCTTCATCTGGGACACTGGCAACCGAGTCATCAATGACTATCATCCGCATATCTGGACGATTCCAGTAGAATTCAAAGGCTCCATCACAATCTATACTGCACTCATGGCAGTATCGAGGATGACACGAGACGGCAGATTGTTCGCGCTGTGTGTGCTCTGGTACTACTTCATGTACATCACGGACGGATCCTACTACTGCATGTTCGTGTCTGGTATGATTCTCTGCGATCTGGAATTGAGGGCCGCAGAAGGAACACTTCCACGCTGGATGAAATCCTTGGAGCCTTACAAGAAAATGATATTCTACACGCTGTTCACGGTTGCGATTCTGCTCGGCGGCATTCCCTCGCACTCGATCGAAGTGAACCTGCTCAAGAGCAGTCCTGGATGGTACTACCTGGCATACTTCAAACCCCAAGCTGTCTTCGACTTCAGATGGTTCTTCCTGCACTGGGCGGCTGTATTCCTGGTGGCCTCTGTCCCACACATCAACTGGGCCAAGAAGTTCTTTGAGACTCGCTTCTGCCAACATCTTGGACGCATCTCCTTCATGCTCTACCTCATGCACGGCCCTGTCCTTTGGATATTGGGAGACAGACTCTACTGTGCCGTCGGCTGGACCATCCCCGGTCATCACATCCTCCTCATGCCTTGGTGGGTTGGTCGCTTCCCTCTTCCGAAATGGGGACCAAAGGGATTGGAGCTGAGCTTCATCGCTTGCCAATTCATCTTGTTGCCCGTCACGATGTGGGTCGCAGAAGTCATGACCATTGTCGTCGACGACAGTGCCATCAAGTTCACGGCATGGCTGTACTCGCGATTCTTGCCTGAAAAGCCATCCACGAAAGCTGTTACGAGTCAGAGCGAAGAGAAGACCAGTTCATAGCGCTACGAGAGAGTAACACAGTCTCTCATGATAATGTGATTCATTGTACAACTGTTACCAACCTTCTCTCACTCGTCTCCACTTCATGTCTCTCAACAATAACCAGCAATCACGATCTCTACCTCTTACCCGGATGGATGTTTAACAACGACCTCGTAAAACTTGCGATCACATGCATGGAAACTTGGGAAGCTGCTCCGAATGATCGTGCAGTAGTCCTGTAGCTCCAGGCCCGTCTCCAAGCCCGGCCGCAACTCAATCAAGCTTAACTATGCCTAAAGCAAGCATAATCGTCTCCGCTTCATAGAGTGGTCGAGATCAGCCACTTGGCTTGCCTTGCGGGGAAATGCGGAAGTTGCCTTGAGGAGAAGGACGCCTCAAAACACGCAGGCGTAGACGAGGCGCACGCGAGGTACGAGAGCATCGAGCTTACGGTGCTTGTCAATCCTCCAAGCATGGAGCTACGATCGTCACAAGACACCGAGCGGCGCCCGCAGATGGGAGTAGCCGCCGGTACCACTCATCGACATTGCAAATCAGAGAGTTTGCTAGGCCGAGGCTTCCTGCTTTGGAACGGCCGAGCCAGCCAATCTGGGGTCCCTTTCGGTGCTGTGACCTGAGTGGCTTCCTACCTGGCCATGACGGCGTGGAAACTGAGTCTGGAGATGTTGGAGAAAAGGTGGAGTTCTCCGAACAAGCCAATCGCAAAAGGTCTTTGTAAATTGATCTATGGCCTGTGATGATGGAATTATCCTTCATAGCGCGGACGAGCATTCGATCATATCTGTCGCTGTAGAAGCGCTAATTCTGATCATCTTGAGCTCATCTCTCAACATCCTCGCCAACAATCGCGTCGTGCTCTTTGCATAGCACCTTGCCACATCATTCTGACATCCATCAACACCACACAAGAGCAACGCAACAATGTCTTCATGGGGATCAGCACCACCTTCACCTACCATCCCAGGTAGCCCAGGGCTACTCTCTGAAAAAGCCTCAATGGAGCGACAATCCTGGACACCACGCCGCTCCCGCAGCCCGATCAGAGGAAAACGCGGTCTCGCACCACTCCTAGCCCTCATGCTCGTAGCTGTCGTCTTCATCACCACAATGTCTCTCCGACCACACTACACAGTCGATGCAGCGGAATGGATTCAAAAACAATCTGCTCAACGCTTCAAGGACGCTCAACTTAAATTGAAAGGCACTTGGACTGTTTACGAAGAGAAAGATTTCCCAGTCAGCAATCCTTTGATTACTGTCGCTACGACTGAAGAGGACTCCGGGTTGCGACAGACACATCCTGAATTGGAAGAGGCGACTTTTGATCCTTTGGCTCCGAAGCCTACGCCTGAGTTGTCGGTTACTGGACAGCCAGTTTTGCATCAAGGTGTTGTGGTTTGAGCGACGTACGATGTCAGTGTCAAAGACACCCACAGCAACAACGCAGTGTGATATCATCACGACTCGACTCCAACGCGACGAACAGGTCAGCGATTCATCGCGTCGCCTATGTGCTCCCAAAAAACCATTCCTGCACCAGGCGCATCCTGCTCTGCAGAAGCGAGAGGAGAGGGGGGGCCTAACCGGGAAGCTCCGTTTGGTTCTTCCTGTGGTTGGTTTCGGCAAACTGCACTCCGCATAAAACGCCACCAACGCAGCTGGCTTATATGGGATGCAGCTAGGAGGTGTGCTCGCTGTGGACCTGCATAGCTCTCCAATGTCATGATTTGACGTATGGGGCTGTCATAGCATCCATACCGATTGCGACGCCCTGGTGCTTGAGGACGAAAGCTAGGAGAAGCAAAGAAAATGATAAGAAGAACGATCACAGATGATGAAGGATAATGAATGATAATTATGTGTGAGGAATATGATGGAGCAATGCTTGCAATGTAAAATAATAAAACTAGAGAAACCAGGAACGAGGATTCAATACGACTCATCATGAGCACAAAAAAAAAAAAGGCAAAGAATCAAATTGACATTCAACGAAATGAATTACGAAGAACATACCATCATCTAAACTTCCAAACCCTTCCCATCGTCCCATTGCATCAACTCCACATCGCATCACATCACGTCATGCAACCGACGTACAACTAACCACAAACCTCCCATCCTTCCTCTCATTCGTACAAACCGTCTCACTCGAAGCATCAAACACAAACTCAAACTTCCCATCTTTCGTCGCAGACAACACGAAATTCGCACTCGCATTCGCAGGATCAATTCCAATTCCCGCGGAAACGTTCAGTTGGTTTTGTGTGATGTTGAAGCCTCCGCCGAGACCGAAGTCGGAGGATCCGCCTGTTAGGCCACCTATATGGGTCGTTAGATCTCGCTTTTGACAACAATTAATCGTGAAAGATGGAGAATGAGGGGATGATGGATCAAGGGAAGGGGGAGAAGGGATTAACGTACCGCCATAAGACACATTCTTCGTCCAATTGATCCCGCAACCTATTCCGACATCACCGAAACCGTCCAAGTTTCCGTTTGCGGCTACGCTGCCTGTTCCGCCTGTCGCGTTGGAGGTTTTGCTTAGGGTGTTGACTTTTACGCCTTCGTCGTAGTTGGAGCCGATTTGGAGCTTTAGAGCATTCGTGCCGGCGAACAAGCCGGCTAGGAGGAGAGCTTGCTGGATTGAGGATTTCATGCTGACGGGTCTGATCGGCTAGCCGAGCTGGAGAATTGGATGTGCTTTACGAGAGCTTGACTATACTCCGTAATCGACTGTATAACGATCGTGTCAGTCAGTCCGAGAAAACGAGCGAATACGGTAAGCGGCGATTGACGGCGACGGCGACAGTGATGCGGTGCAACAACAGCAGCAGCGTACAGTAGGAAAAGAAATGCGTCGTTCCGCATGCTTTTAACTTGGACATGGATCGTTCACTAATCGGACATGGTCCCTAGCATAACACATGTCTATCCTCGTTAAGTTATCCTGGTAGTTTGCGGCCAGGTTCAGAAGTTTTGTAAGCCTGTCAGCATCCCCGAAATTTGATCTTGCTTGGCTGTGCTGGGGAGCCTCGTATGGATTGTTTGGGCTTGGCGCATACAGTATAGGGCATGTCTATGAGGAATGAGAAAGGACGGCTATGGAACGAAACGGCGTAGAGAATTGGCACGCTGAGCTTAGAGACGATCGTTGATGTGCGCCAACGCAAGCAGTCCAAGCATGTCGCGGGAAGTGTGCAGCATCTGGGCAAATGCCAGCAGAGCTTTTGGTATGTACAATGCATTTGATGGGTGTTTTCGGAAGCAATTTTGAATCATTGGCGATTGTTAGGATCATTTGTCGTTCCACTCGTTCCATTCGTATGACCGGTCGTCCACGCTTTCGGAGGGGTCAATCCAAGCTTTTCTGCTGTTCCCTCAGTCTGAACAGCAGCTTCATTGACTTTCTCAATCTCGAAACCAGCAATCGCTTTGTATGCCAGCCCAATGCCTTCCAGCTCGTCCTGAGGTATGATGTCGTTGATGTGCTTGAATCCATCCGGAGCTCGCTCATACGCCACCTGCATGACATGATCAGGCCCATTCCCACGATTGGCCATGATAATCTTCGCAGTAATCGGTAAGCGTTCGTCTTGGTAAGCTTTTAACGCTGCCGGGATATCTGCGATCTTGCCAGATCTCCAGCTAAGCAGGTGGCTTGTCAAAGAGGCTGCATCTAAGATGGCTTGTGATGCTCCATTGCTTCCAATCGGGTACATGCTGTGAGCAGAATCGCCCAGCAACGTTAATCTCCCGAACGACCATCTATCCACCGGATCTCGATCGCACATCGGGTACTCAAAGACCTTCTCCGTCTTCTCAATCAACTCCGGCACGTTCAAGAACCCAAACGTCCAGTCCTTGAATTCTCCAGCGAATCGTTTCTTAGGCACAGACATCAGCCAATCTCCCGACTTCACCGGTGGCGTCGTATCAGGATCATTCTCGTCCCGCACTCTCAGCTCAGCGATCCAGTTGACCATAGACTTCGATCCAGCTTGATCGTGATAATTTATGATCGGATAAGCAATAAACTTCTGATTCGCATGTCCTGACCAGATCATGCTCGCCGAAGTCAGAAATGGTTCTCGTTCAAGGTAGCCTCGCCATAGGATTCGTCCAGAAAAGTGTGGAGGTCCTTCCTTGGGATATAGAATGCTTCGAACTTTTGAATTGATACCATCAGCTGCAATGACGATATCTGCCTCAACTTCTGCATTAGTAGCAGGAGTTCCCGTCTTCTTCTGAATGAATCGTAACCTGACAGGTTTCGAAGTAGCTGTGTTTTCAAAACTCTCCAAGCAGTGATTAAGATGAATTCGATCTTCTCCAAGTCGTTCCTTCACTGCATCAAGCAGAAGCATCTGCAGGTTACCGCGGTGTATGCTGAACTGGGGTACTTGATATCCGGCATATTTTCCGCGTGGCTCGCTTATGATGGGATTGCCGAATCGATCGTAGTAGTTTAGCTCTTTGGTCTCCACTCCTGTGTGCTGCAACGCTGGTAAAAGCCCCAAGTTCCGTAGGATCAGGACAGCAGAGGGTTGAACATTGATTCCCACGCCTAGTGAAAGCAGTTGTGTTGATGCTTCATACAAGTCGATGTTCCGAAAGCCATGAGCGTGAAGTTGGAGCGCTGTGGCCAAGCCTCCCACGCCGGAGCCGATAATCTTGATCGCGGGATCGGATGTCATGCTTCTGTATTCAGTATTATCTTTTCAAGTCCGCTTCAGGGATGACGAGAGAAAGTTGTTCAAGTGCAGTTTTTTGTGAGTGCGCCAGTGGCTCTATGAGTGGCCCGATGCCGGTCTTGTGGAGAGGCTTGGAAGTCTAAGAAGCTCGGCAGTCGCAACGGCACGTCTTGCTTGATTTTGTTGTCAGCATTAACGCCAGGGCGTCGCTCGACAGTAAACAACCGACAGATGAGCGCGTCGTAAGCCACTCGCCGAAATGATCCAATTGCAGAATCCGACGTGCTTCAATCACGCTTGACAATGTCACCTATGATCTGCCTTGAACAGAGATATGGGTGATAAAAAGAAAAGGTTTCTTCATCGATCATCGTCTATATTGGCACTTGACATGTGTCGCGTGAGCTCTATCGCCATGCCATGAGTCCAGTAGCTGGACATTGGCTTCGCTGTCGCGCAGTGCTGTGAAATTGGCGGCTTCTCTGCAGCATCCGCAAAAGCCTGTTGATCCAGATGGTCGGGTCTTTGGCTCATATACCGCCCTTGTTGACCTGTTTGATCGTTCATCCAGCCAAGACTTTGTAATCGCGCTCTTCGAGTGATGTGTATGTTTAGAAACATCGAGCTTCGAGCTTTTCTGGGCAGATAGTAGACAGCGCCCTCTTTTGCGGCAATAAGCACCGTGGAAGGAGATGCCATGCTTCACACTATCTTCAACGTTGAAGTACTCCCGCACGAAGCAGCTCCGCTCGTCTATGTCGTCCGAGCAGGCAAGACGATCATTCGTGTAGCCCTGTGCACTGATTGGCTAGGTGGTATTTGGATTGCAGTGCAGTGTCGTCTTTCTGGCAATCAGATCGAGAACCGGGGACTGCGCCATAGCAGCAACAGATGAGCCATGATTGAGCACGAAAGAGCTTGCGCCGAGTATCTCGGGCTGCGTCCAGTCTCGAATGAGAGCTTCCGCTCCACTTTTGACGAGTGCCAAAGCGCATTCTAGGCAAAGTGAATGTTCTCGCTGTTAAACCCGTAAAGCAAGCGCAGGAAGTCGCCCTCGTCGCACATGCGAGCACGCTTGTCCGCAAGGTCGTTATCTTCCAGCACCTTTTTCACCTTGCTGCGAACCAACTCAGCAACTTTGCCCTTCTTTTTGCGGTTGGGATTCTCCGCTGTCTTCTTTGATCTCCGATCCATCTCTTCTTTGAAGAAGTCCGGCACATCTTCGTCATCGTCCACCTCCATGAGCCCATCCATCTCTTCATCTTCCTCAGCACCGCCATCCATGTCCATATCTTCCGCACCATCGACTGGCCCATCTTCCAGCTCGATGCCATTCTGTGAGCAGAATGTGCGGTAGTTTGACGTAAGCATTTCCATGACACTCGTGGTTCCCAGAAATCCACTTCGCAGCACCTTGTTCTTCCTCACGAAGCAAATGCGCAGCAGGCCATCCCACTCGTCGTAGCTGATTTGCGGCCTCGGGTTCTTTGGCGATATCCTCACGACATTCGACTCGACCTGAGGCGGTGGATTGAAGTTGTTCCTCCCTACCTTCATGACATGATCTACTTTCGACCACATTTGGCAGTTCACTGACAGCCTGCTGTATAGCTTATCACCGGGTTTCGCGAACAGACGCATAGCGAATTCGCGCTGAAACATGAGCACGCAACTCCTCGGACTCGGACTCGTGGCTAAGAGTTTGAATGTGAGCGGAGAAGAAATCTGGTAGGGCGTGTTCGATATGCAGACGTCGAAGTACGGCAACTCCGGCATCTTGATCACATCTCCCAATATGAGTTCGAGTTTCTTCGCAGCTGGTGTCCCTTGAAATCGCTTGGTCAATTCTGCAGCCATGCGAGGATCTTGCTCCACCGCAATCACTTTCTTCGCCTTCTCCAGGATTCGTGTTGTCAAATTGCCTGTTCCCGGACCGACTTCCAGCACGATATCAGACTGTTTCACATCGGCCTTGTCGACGATCGCCTGCGCGACACCCGGGTTCTTCAGAATATGTTGACCGATGTCTGTGTTCATCTTGAAGATGTTGTTCGCTGTTGCGGAGGACTTTGCCTTGCGCGCGGCCGCGCCAGCATACGGATCGGGTTTCGAGACGCCATTGACGCTGCCTTTGCGCGCGGATTTGGGCATTGTGGCGGTGGTGGTGGAGATCCGTGTGGGAGGTGATAGCGGTGTTGGAGTCTAACATTTTCGATATCGATACGGCAGCTGTGACCCTGGTTTTGTGCCGCGAGCCGAGCCGGCAACTCAAAAAGCTCCGTCCTCCGACCCTGGTATCACGTCGTTTCCTTCCGGACTTCCTCTTTGCTGCGACAATCATACATTCGGAGCTGCTCGTTGTTGCGGTCGACGGTGACAAGTCCCTTGCTGAGCAACGCCAACCATCACATGAGACGCAGCTCGTCACTTACGTTGTCGCAAACGTGCCAGTTGATTACGATACGTCAACGCCTCCGCACTGCGTCTCTGCAGCGCAGTTTCGCCGAGATGTTTTTGGAAACTGTACGGACGTGCACCGCCAGAATCTTCGAAGCAGACAATCGATAACTGCGCACTAGCAGGGCTTCTGCCGTTGCTGACAATCATGATTCGCCATCGACAATGGCTGAGGCGGATGCCTCCACTGTCTAAACTGAGGCCAGGCGTCACTGCAGAAAGGTAGGAAACTGCCTCGTGGTCGTGACTGCTGACGACGTCTCCGGCGATTTCTACTAAAGCGCACTCTTCTACTTGTCCTCCACTCAATTGACATCCAATTCAGCTGACTGAGCAGCATGATCAACACAACCTGGACCGCCCCCTCCCTCTGGACGCTGTCCTGCATCATCCTGGTCGTCTATGTCCTCGCCCTGTTTCCAATCGCATACATATTCTACAAGCATAAGAAACGCGGCCTTCAAGCTTGGATCCACCTCACCATATTTGTTCTTCTTCAACTCGCCGGCTATGGAATCATAGCAGGCGTCGGGCAAGCGACTGCTCCGCCGTTTTTCGCCCCAGTTCTGGCGTCTATCGCACTGTCACCGCTCATGGTTGGCACAGCAGCAGTGCTCCACGAATGGTTCACCACTACGCGAGTTGCCAATGTCGAGAAGAACCAGACGACGGCGCAATGGTTGCTGAACGCATTCCACCTCATCGGGATATTTGCACTGGGTCAAATCCTAGCTGGCGAGCTTCTGCTGGGCCAAGGAGGTGCTCCTGCCTTCGCTCGGCCTCTTCTCCAATCCGGGGCTTTCCTACTCTCAGTGCTGTTCCTGACACTCTGCTTTGCGACTTTTGGACTTTGGTGGCATCACTCAAAAGGAAGCTCCTCGTCGCTGATCTGGTCTGTCCTTCTTGTTCTACCTTTCCTCGGGCTACGCTACGTCTACGAAGTCGTCACGGCTTGGGATGATGCCCCGGACCTTGATCAGATCTTCGGCAGCCTGACCTATCGAGCGGCATTGCAGGTCGTACCACAGACTGTTGCACTTCTGATTCTGATCGTGGGCGCTGTGATGGCACGAAATGTCAATGAGGATACTCGACTTGGTCAACACGAGCCGATTGGAGAGCCTCTGGATCATGCTGGGAGTGCGGAGCAAGACAACAAAGGCTGAACAGAGCTGTTCTTCGAAGAATGCCCCTCGCAACACATCCATCATACGTTAGCGCGCTGAACCACACTGCGCCATGAGAATGTGCCTTGAAACGGACCAGAGTTCTCTTCAGAAATGGCTTCGAACCTGTCTGTCATGCGTGACATCGAACGGAAACTTGAGATTTGCGATGAACGGAGCCGCACAGTAGAGATATCTACGCAGCCTAGCTACCGGAATGCATTTCAAACCAATCAATCATTACACGAACTGAATGAATATGGGATCCCATGCGACTAGCCTCGAACTGGTTGCCGATATACGCTACAGAGGTGATAGAACCCTCTGGCAGCGTTGTTATCGAGGCACAAACAGCGTGCGCCATGACAGCAAGCTGCAGGTGCAAGAATTGTTGTCCAGTTTGCGATGAATTCAGGCACCACTGGGATTTCACAATCAGTCTCACGAGTCCAATGGCTTAATCCTTGACAAACAGAGAAGGGACACAGAACCAGAAACTTATAGAGAAACAGTAGTATCAAAATGGCAATGGCCCACGATTCTCGATGTTTCAAATCACTACTCAAGTGCAAAGTCTGACCGCTTTGCTCCCTCTACTCATCTCTTCGCACCCATCTCCTTTGGATCTTGAAATCACTCTCCAGTCGCATAAACCAGTTTCTTCCCACTCACCCTACCTTGCCTCAACTCCTCTACCCCATGCAACACACCCTCCAACCCCTTTCCACCCAAATTCTTCTCCTGCGGATGCGGCACCAACTTCCCCTCCTTCAACAACCCCTCCGTCAACTCACAAAACTTCTTCGAAAACTCAAAATCCTCCGGCTTCGCAGCAAACGAATGCCCCATTTTCTCAAACGCTTCTCCCACAACAGTATAACCCAACGTATGCTTATTCTCCACATCTTCTCTCGAATGTTGAGCTCGAAGGAGATAAGAGATTGCTCCACCTTTAGCGGAAGAAATACTTTCTTCGCAGATTTGAGGGGAATTATTTTCGGAAATGCAGTCGAGGACTATTTGAAGAGAGTCGTTTGTGTATTGACGGATTTTTGCCGCGCATTCGGGATCTTTGTATGAGAAGACTTCTTCTGCTCCGAGAGATTTTAGGAGGGAGAAGTTTTGGGGTGAAGATGTTGCTATTACGCGTGCGCCGGAGAGGTTGGCGTATTGGATTGCTAGTGTTCCTGTTGCGGTGCTGGCTCCGTAGATTAAAACGAACGTTCCTGCGAAACTTTCCTTTTTGTCCGAGGTGTCGTTGGGTAAGGGGAGACCGAGGGATTGGTACAGGGCTTGACCGCAAGTTATGACTCCTGCTCCGAGAGTTGCGGCTTCGAAGGAAGACATGGAATCTGGAGGGGAGATTCCTAGGTCGCCTTTTACCATGGCGTATTCGGCGAAGGCTCCGTCTTCGTGTTGGGAGGTGTTGCCGCCGTGGACGAAGGTTGCGATGCGGGAGTTTTTGGTCCAGGGTTTTGTTACTTTGGGGCCGATTTCGATGATGGTGCCGCCTGGAAGGTTGAAATCAATTAACCACTGGTCTTCAGAATGAGATAGGAGGTCGATGGTGGAGAGAGCGTACATAAATCAACACCAACAGTCTCTCCTCCTTTGCCGATTTTGTAGATGTGTTTCCTGTTCGAGATCATGAGCCTCCACGTGTCGATATTTCCTGCAATATCTCCTACCAATCTGTTGGATTCAATGCTACGGCTTCGACTTTGACGAGCATGTAGTCATCCCTCAGCTTTGGCAGAGGCACTTCTCGAATCTCAGCAGTATTCTTCTCCGTGATCTTGATCGCCTTCATCGTGCTTGGGAGTGAGCTAGCCATCTTGAAAATGAAGTTTCGAAGCTGCTTCAGTGTGAGCCGTCTGGACTTCAATTAGTGTGGCAAATTATGAAGTTTCAACTTCTAGAACGATGTGGTCGAAATAGTCAACTTGGAAGAGAACTCAATGTTCCAGACAGAAACATGAACCACAGACGATCTGTCAATCTGAAATATCCGTTACATCATGATGGAGATCCTTTGCTTACAAACTTTCGCCCACATGCTCAGTTTACTGATCCTGCAGCGGGGCTATTCGTGCTTGGTGCTTGGTGCGAAACAATTTTTGTGCTGCGAGCACGCGGGGTACATCTGAGCAGGAATCCAGAATATGACGTGTGGTTCCATTGAATGCGAGAATTCGGTCTCGGAACAACTATTCGTTAGGGCACACAAGGAGAGACGAATGAAGAGGTACTATGGAGGCAGGGCTCTGTTTCACCAATGTGAAGCTCTGATGTTCGACAGTCGAGCGCAGCTGGGAAGGTTGGCAGATGGATGTGAACTACCCTCTGGTTCCTGCCATGCTCTTGCTGAAATCTTGAGATTGGGTGCGATACATCGTGGCTGATAGCCGCGGAACGCAATCTGTCACCGGGCTGGTTGATCGTAGAGTGGATGTAGCACATCCACTCCATCGTCGCCACAGTCTTGTGCTCTCCGTGATGTTGTGCCAAATATGGAGCAGTACGACAGCATATTTCTGTCGCAATATGAGGTTGATTTTGTGTTCATAACAAGCGCCTATCATATCGTTCGTAAACTTCTGTACAAGGTATTGTGCCACCCAAGACCATATCATGGTATCTTTCACGCATCTTGCAAAATCCAGTTTCCTTTCCCACAATCTGCACCTCGCGACAATTCTTCTCCTCCATCTATTACCTCACAACCGGGGGAGGGCCCTTCGGTGGCTCGTACACGCCCGCCTCTTGATTCCTGTATCCGCCGTACGTCGAAGACGGCTGCTGCAGCTCCACATCGTTGCCGTATGGTCCATTGTGGTTTTGCTGTCCGTATTGGCTGTTGTTCGGCGGAGGCGTGTACGCAGGCGGAGGGTTGTTGCTGTTGTTGTAGTATGGTTGTGAGTTTCCGTAGTATGGCTGTGCATTCTGGTAGTATGGCTGCTGATTCGTGTACTGCGCAGGCGCATGCCCAGGCGGTGTTCGTCCTAGCGCCCAGCCCGTTCCTCTGTACGGATTATGGCCCAGCTTGCGACGGCGACGGGCGGAGATGCAGCTGCGACGGATGTCAGCTTATGGTCGCAAAGCGGCCAAGTTTGCGATGTTGGCTTACCTAAATGCGAAGAACAGCAGGAAAGCGGCGACAATAATGAGGGCGAGGACGAGCCATCGCACCCAGCTGTCCCAGGCGCTGTCGTAGCATCGAACGCTGCCAAACGCGTTAACGTAGCAGCTTGACATGCTGGTCAGCAGTGGCTCTCAAGCTCAGGCGTGGCTGTGGTTGCTGTGCGGAACAGGGACCGGGGCAGAGCTGGAGGACAGCAGACAGAGATGCCCAGGTGTATGTGAATAGTGACAAGAACGCCAGCAAGAGGGGGAGGCGTGCAGTTATGTTGCTGTAGATGCTTGGATGGACTGATGCCGCGCACTCGCGTGGAATGGTCGCGAAGGACCACCAAACGAAAGGCGCAGCAACGCTCCGGCCCACCAGGATCAGGCGCGACAAGCCATCGGCCAAGACTTCGTTCGGGCTCTGGGCGGGTCGGGTGATGGGGAAGGCAGTACTCACTCGTCGTCTAGCTCGCGGGCGTTGTTGTTGTCCTGTCGACTCGTGAGACGTGGAAGGTCCATACTGGCGATATGCTGTGGAGGAAGAATGTCAGAGTGTAGAGATCAAGGTCAGCAGCAGAGAACTAGAGGGCATATATGACGCGGCGTCTCGCTGCCCATCATGCTCGTTGCCATCGTCAGCCGATGTGTGGCTCAGCCAAAACGTGACCCTTGGCTGACTGTCTGCGCGGCTTTTTGCACGACGGCGGCGCGGAATGCGCTGGAATGCCTCTGTTTTCGCGCTTGCGTCCGCGACTGCATGTGTATGAGTACGATGTTGTTGTTTGGTGATGCTGCTGGCAATTTCACCGCGCTGCTGCTGGTGACGCTGGCTTGGCCCGGCTTCGTGAGTTCCAGCGCACCTGCCGCGGCTCGCGGCAAGCTAGACGTAGCTTCCGTTTCTGCTCACCCTGGCATCCTGGCGCTTTCATGCACGATGCGTTGTCAATGAGAGGGCTAGGGAGAACTATTTGACTGCCAACCACGAACCCTCTCGTTTGTGCGCACAATTTCTCTGCTCGACCTTTTCCTCGCTGTCCTCGTGCCTGCCATTTGCCGCCGACAAAGAGCTACCCGCGACGCCTCGCCTGGATGCAGGGATGCCATGAGCTATCCGCCAAACTTCTGCACGGGTCACAAGAAATTCTGCTGCGATTCGAGACGAACAGAAGAGCTGTGGGAACTGTAGAGGACCGATACATGGAGCTTCGACCGATTCGACTGCATACCTATGCTATCTCAGTCCCGCCCACGGAAGTCTCTCGGCCGTCTCGCATGCCTCATTCATCACATGATATCGAACACCAAATCTCCAAACCACCCGTCCATCCTTCGAAGTCGCAACATCTCGCCCCTTCCGCAGTTTTGAATGGATGAACCAAACGAAAGTCCCTATCCCGTCCCACCAAAACAAATGAGATACAATGAGTTCAGGATGCAACATTTTGCTTCAAAAGTGCCATTGCTGGCTCGCAGCTTCGCGCCGCTATCCCTATGCCTTCTATGCCGACAAGATAAATGATCCAGATTAAGAAACAGCTACTCGTGTCGTCACCGTCGTCGTCGATGGAGCCATGATCTTCGTGGGGTCTTCGTATGGATCGCGGCCGTAACGTTTCGTGGGTCAAACGTAATCAGTAACAACAACCATCACTTCTGCGCTCGCGCAATGAGCCATTGCAGAACCGCATCCAGATTGGTCTCTTCCTTTGCGCTGATGCCGTAACAGCTAACTTCACGGTGCGTGACAGACTTTAGATTCAATGCTGCGATCAGCTCGTCCACCGTCGCGTGTCCAGAGAGGTCCGATTTATTCCCAAGCACGAGCAGAGGAATGCCTTCCATGGCCGGCTTGTCCAGTAGTATGTGGAGTTCCTCTTTGGCTACCGGGAGAGCTTCCTTATCGGCGGAGTCGACGATGAATCTGCGATACACGTTCAGTCCTTCCCGACGATGCGCGCCTTCGGACGACTTACACGATGGCGTTTACCCCGCGACAGTACCGCTCCCACATCGAACGAAATCGAGGCTGCCCGCCGAGATCCCAACTGCGTTCCGTCAGCATCTCTCGCCCATTGCCACCACAACGCGCGCAAGTTGCCGACCAAGCCACCATCGAAAGCAAGACGCGCACACATACCACTTCAGGGTGACATGGCCCTTCTGCACCCGCTTCATGTTGAATCCCACAGTTGGAATGGAGCTGTGCCACCGTATCAGCATCACATGCGCCTCCATCGACACATAGATCTCGGCACAACCCCTGCCCTGTCGCACAGGATCACATACTCTATCGTGAACTCGCCGCCCTGTGCCACCGCGTCAGCCATTAGCAGCGCACTCGAAACACGAGCAGTTCAGGAGCGCTCACCGCCAGGACTCGCAGCAATGATGTTTTGCCGGCGTTCTGGAGCCCGATCATGGTGATGTCCATTTCCGTGGCCCTGGAGCGAGTAAGCGATTCATGTCAGCTTGCGCCCAGTGGTAGGATGCGGTGGTGGCGATGTCGTTGGTGTTGTCGTGATATCGGGGGCGGTGTAGTTCAGGCTGCAAGGCGCCAACTCCAACAACACAACGACGACACAGCGGGGCGGGTCAGTGGGGAGGGGGGCCAGCGTACCAGAACAGACTGAGCAGCCAATCATAGATGCGCCGGAAGATGCCCACCATACTGGGCACGTCTTCGGGTGATTTTCGACTTTGGCGCAGAGTGGAAATTCTGGCGCTCGCCTTTTAGGGTCCGGTGCGGAAGTTGAGCCAGTGAAGGAGTGGAAGGGCGGCAGGGCGATCGCGAGACAAGGAACCGTTGTCTTGAGTGGATGAGAAAGAATTCGAAGAGCGGGGTGGAACGGGCCACGAGGACACTAGGAGGTAAATCGGAAGGTTAAGGAAGAAGGACCGTCGTGGTGGATGGACGTCTTGGTGATGCTTTCGACACCAGCGGCGGCGTGGGGACGAGGGGGCAGTGGGAGTATGAACGAGCAGTAGGAACGATGATGGCGGCGCGCCGTCTCTGCGTGTGCGTAGTATAGTAGTCAGGTGCAGATGGGGGACTCGCGGGCGGGCTGTCCTGCAGAGCTGCACGAGCTTGGATGCCTGGCGGCCAAAGATGCACGCTGCAGTGGAACGGTAGTTAGGTCTGCCGGCCGTTAGCTGGTCGTAGTTCTGCTCGTCTGCGCTCGCAAGCAAGCACGCACACACGCCCACCTCATCGCACAGCCCACTTTGTTCTCCCACTTCGAGGTGTCGCCGCGCTGAGATGCGCTATCGCCGGCTAGGCAAGAGCCGACCCGTCATCCCGCGCCCCCGGCGTTCGGCTAAAGTGAGCTTTTCGTCAAAAGTTCTCGAGCTTCGTGCTGGGTTCCATCTTTGCATTCGCGACGACGGAGTTGGAGGCGTTCTGCGTGGGTTGACTGCCTGATCGAAGCCACATGTGATCATTCCACGCTGCCTCTTCTCCCCGCGCAATCATGGCACAACACAGCGTGGCTCGCAGCCAGTGGTCGGAAGAGTACGACACTCTGAAGCGCGAGAAATTGTTCAGAAATCCTCCCTCTGGCAAGAGCGCATATCCTGCACTGCAAGAGGTGATCCGACCACACGTCGACTCCTTCAACGCCATCTTTACCGGCCAGCTGGAACATGGCCTCAAGGACATTGGCACCAAAACCTTCCTCGATGGCAACCCTCAAGACGACGGGCCCAAAAATCGATTACAGCTGCGCATCGCCAACGTCTTCCTCGAAAAGCCGCAGCTTCCCCCGAGCAACAAAGTCGAGACTGTCAAGCGGGAGATTCTGCCAGTCGAATGCCGAGAACGACACGCCACATACCGAGGACGATTTCGAGGACGATTAGAATACCGAGTCAACGATGGGCCATGGAAAGAGTCGGTCCGCGATTTTGGGACACTGCCAATTATGTTGCGATCGAATCGATGTCACCTTGAAGGACTGTCACCGAAAGAGCTGGTCAACAAGCGAGAAGAGACGGAAGAGTTGGGAGGCTACTTCATTGTCAATGGCATTGAGAAGCTGATTCGAATGTTGATCGTAAACAGACGGAATTACCCCATGGCAATTACAAGACCTTCGTTCAAGAACAGAGGGGCAACATATTCAGAGTTCGGTGTGCAAATACGATCCGTACGACCAGATCAGACGTCACAGACTAATGTGTTGCACTACCTGAATGATGGAGCTCTCACATTTCGATTCTCGTGGAGGAAGAATGAATATCTGATTCCTGCCGTGATGGTCATGAAGGCTCTGGTGGACACCAACGATCGAGAGATCTTTGAGGGTATTGTTGGGCCTGCTGGTGGAAAAGAGATGGACAACAAGCAGTTCGTGATCGATCGCGTGGAACTGCTATTACGAACCTTCAAGGTGTATAACATGCACACGAAAGCACGATGCAGAGCATATCTGGGCGAGAAGTTCCGGCCAGTGCTGGGTGTTCCGGCAGATATGTCTGATGAGGATGTGGGAACGGAACTGCTGAGGAGAATCGTGCTGCCACATCTGGGGTCGTACGATGTGACGGAATCAAACGACATGGACAAATTTCGAATGCTGCTTTTTATGACCCGAAAGCTGTATGCGCTGGTCGAAGGAGAGTGTGCAGTGGACAACCCTGACGCGGTGCAGAATCAGGAAATTCTGCTCCCAGGCTTCCTATACGGCATGATTGTCAAGGAACGTATCGAAGAATGGTTGACGACGAGCGTCGGCGCTCAATTACGGATGTGGAGTGCCCAGAACTCCTATCCTTCTTTCCTCAGCAAAGAGTTCGATCGAGACTTCATGAACAAAGTAATCCGCAGAACGAACGAGAACTTGGGACAAGGGCTGGATTATTTCATGTCAACGGGTAACCTGGTCAGTCCTTCTGGTCTGGATCTGCAACAAACGAGTGGCTTCACAGTTGTCGCAGAAAAGATCAACTTCTACCGATTCATCAGTCATTTCCGCATGGTGCACAGAGGTAGCTTCTTCGCTCAGCTGAAAACAACGACTGTGCGAAAGCTTCTGCCGGAGAGTTGGGGTTTCCTGTGCCCGGTACACACTCCTGATGGATCTCCTTGTGGCCTATTGAACCATCTCGCACATAAATGCAAGATCTCCACATCGAGCGCAGAAACATCACATATTCCTGCGTTGATCGCACAACTGGGCGTCTCGCCATACTCAGAAGCTTCAACGAATGACAGCGTGTCTGTGCAGCTTAATGGGCGCATTCTCGGATACTGCTCACCGAAGCAGGCGGAGACGATACGAGATTCGTTACGGTACTGGAAAGTTGAAGGCACGCACAATGTGCCTCTGGATCTGGAGATCGGATACGTGCCACTCAGTACGGGTGGCCAATATCCTGGCATCTACATGTTCTCGGAGGCAGCGCGCATGATCCGACCTGTGAAGTACCTACCGCTCGAGAAAGAGGATCGCGTTGGGCCATTTGAGCAGCCATATATGAGTATTGCGTGTACGGAACCTGAGGTTGTGTCTGGAGACTCTACGCATGTCGAATTTGATGTGACCAACATCTTGTCAATCGTGGCAAATCAGACACCTTTCTCTAACTTCAACCAGTCGCCGCGAAACATGTACCAGTGCCAAATGGGTAAACAGACAATGGGAACGCCTGGAACAGCGCTCAAGTACCGCACAGACAACAAGACATATCGACTTCAAACTGGTCAAACTCCTGTAGTCCGAACTCCTAAACACAATGAATATGGCCTGGACAACTTTCCCAATGGAACCAACGCAGTGGTAGCTGTCATTTCATACACGGGTTACGACATGGACGACGCTATGATCATCAACAAATCAGCTCACGAACGAGGTTTCGGACACGGAACGATCTACAAGGTCAAGAAGGTTGATCTGAACGAGGACAACAAACGCAGAGGAGCGCAAGCAACGTCGATGTTCGGCTTTGCTCCTACAGGGCTCATCAAAGCTCAATGGAGAGGAACACTCGACGACGATGGTCTTCCTGCTGTCGGGACGAAGTTGCGAGAAGGCGATGCAATTGCTGCGCATTACAGTGTCGTCAAAGATCCTCACACAGGCGAGTACGAGAACAAAGACGGCATCACTCACATCCACCGATACAAGGACGCTGAAGAGGCGTACATTGAAGAGGTGAAGATCATCGGCAATGAGAACGGCAACAGCGAGCCCTTCCAAGTAAGAATTGCTTCCCGTTCCCTCAACACCATCACCTGCTAACCTCACTCTACAGGCCATCAGCATCCGCCTCCGCATCCCCCGTTCCCCCGTAATCGGCGACAAATTCTCCTCCCGCCACGGCCAAAAAGGAGTCATGTCCCAAAAATGGCCCACAATCGACATGCCCTTCACCGAATCCGGCATGCAACCCGACGTAATCATCAACCCTCACGCTTTCCCCTCCCGAATGACAATCGGCATGTTCGTCGAATCCTTAGCAGGCAAATCCGGCGCTCTCCACGGCCTCGCACAAGATTCCACACCCTTCAAATTCCAAGATGCAGAAGGTTCTACTGCTGTAGAATATTTTGGTCATCAACTTAAACGCGCTGGGTATAATTTTTATGGGAATGAACCGATGTATTCGGGGATTACGGGACAGGAACTTGCGGCGGATATTTATATTGGAGTGGTTTATTATCAGAGGTTGAGGCATATGGTTAATGATAAGTTTCAGGTTAGGACTACGGGGCCTGTTACGCCGCTTACTGGGCAGCCTATCAAAGGAAGAGCGAAAGGTGGTGGTATTCGTGTTGGAGAGATGGAACGTGATGCTCTCATCGCTCACGGAACCTCATTTTTGCTCCAGGACCGACTCATGAATTGCTCGGATTACACGAAGGCGAATATCTGCAAAGCTTGCGGATCATTCCTCAGCGTCCTACCAAGCTCGAATCCTTCGTTCTTGACATCGAGGATGAGACGAGAAGGCGGGAGAGTGAGATGTAGGAGGTGTGCGAGAAAGGCGACGGAGAAGGATCCTATGAGTTTGTGCTGGTTTGATCGGAAGGGGGAGAAGTGGTTTGGGGGTGATGAGGTTACTACTGTGGCTGTGCCGGGTGTGTTGAGGTATTTGGATGTGGAGTTGGCGGCTATGGGGATTAGGATGAAGTTTAAGGTGGGGCCTTGAGGGTGGTGAGGGAATGAGGGGATGAAGAGAGGAAGAGTGTTGTTGTGTGCTTTTCTGGGCGTTTTGAAGGGATATGAAAGAAGTCTCTCGTGGCATGGCTGGCGTTCTCGAAAAGGCTTTCATCGAGCTTGGAGTTGTTTGTCAGAAATAGACCTAGATGGCAGTCGGTAGCGTGTACAACAAAAAGCATCTGGTGGCTGTACGACCTGAAATGTGCAAGACGTTGCAACCACTCTGCTCTTTCGTAGGTTCATTCGCTTATTGATCCCGGAGCAATGGTCTATCTGTCGGGCACGTCACTCAATCGTCTTCTTTTCTCTCACCACTGGTAAACAGCGTGCCCAACTGCATCATCAAGTTGCCCACCAGCGTCCCGGTGCCGCTTTCCCACCTCCTGCCGTCGCGTGCTCTCTTCTACGAGTTCACATTCGTCGGACGATCTCCTGTCGTGTCGTCGCTCTTCTTATCTATGTCCCGAAACAAATAGCTTGAAATACCCCACAGGGTTCGGAAAGCCTCGACACGGTCATCGACATCCAACAAGTCATACCACTTGGTTCGTTGCAGTAGTGGTCGTGACCAGTTCTCATCAACCGACGGATCAGGTACTTTTTCTGTTTCCAGGTAGTCGAGATATGCCCCGTGCACCTTTAATTTGAGGATGGAGATGTGATGGTTGAGTGAAGAGACCATGAAGACCTGCCGTCGACTAATCAGCATCAAGACATACTCGTGCACTCATCACACCATGTAAAGTATAGGCTGCCCTAAGGTCAAGGTCGGAAAGATCTCCGACTTGGTAATGCAAGGCTGGGGTAACTCACTTCATCGTATTCAGAGTTTGGATCCTTGCCAATCGTTTCATAACCCATCTTCACATCCCATGTCGTGCTGCCAGGCCTGAGCTCTTTCCACAGCATCGCTGGGGTCTTCTTCTTGGGCCGTCTTGCAGGTTCGCGATGCACGGAAGCACTAGCCCTCATGTTCTCTGCAAGCTGCAGGACGTCTTTGACGAGGGCTTCGTTGTGAGCGTCCTGTGCCTGAAATTAGCGATTGCTTGTTGCTCTCAGAGTGAAGCCTGGCGTACCTCCTGTTTCTCGACTTCGCCTCCTGGTCCGCCTCCCCATCGTGGCTTTGATGTCCACCATTGTCCATCTCCTGGGATCGGCGCGACCCTTCCCTCTCGACGTCGCTCCTGTGCTAGATGTAGCAGTCCACCAAGTTCCCGGATATAGTCCAGTCGAGCTTTGACTCCCTTTTGCTTCGGATTGAGGTTATCTGCTTCAAAGTCTGTTTCGGGGCGACACTGCACAGTCATGACCGGACCTTCTAGGAAACCCCCTCGCGCCCTGGTGCGATCTTGAGGCCTGCGATATACGGCGGCTGTTTGGCGCACGGGCACATTCAGCTTGTTGATCCGCAGAAGTGGCATCTGCCGAGGTGGTGCGACTTGGGTGCCGAATGGATATGTCGTCCCATCCACGAATGCCTTTACCATGTCTGCACGGAATTGATCTGGCATGTCACATCCTGCCGCAGTTCGTCGGCCTTTGTATCGAAGGCGCATCTCAGGTTGCTCGTCTTGGTCTTCTTGAGGTAATGGCGTTGATGCTGCTACGGAAATCGCGTCGTCCGAGTCTGCATGTCCGTTGTTCAATTCTGACTTGGCATTCGCTTCCACATGGCTTGTCTGCCCGAGCTCAGTCTGCAGGTTCAATATTGAGGGCGTATTGTCAAGCCGGAGCCGCTTGGCGTCTTTCTCGCCATCGTGATCAGGCTTCGCGACGGGGCCTTCGTAGTATTGATCGAGACTGGTGTCCCAGTACTGTGCTACGCTTTCCAGGCCTTCCCAGAACTTGCGCATGTAGGCAAGACGAGGTTTGTTACCAGCTTTGGTGGTCCTGGTGATGACCCGGATACCGGTATCGTTGTCGATGCGAAGCTCAGCAAGCCGGTCATCGAATTCCTTGCGTTTGGCAGCAGGAGCTGCGCTAAGCTTGGTTGCGTCTGCGTAAGATGCAGCATTGATGGCTTGCTCCGGCGTCAGCGGGGGGTAGTACGAGCTCCCTGCCAAACCTTCAGCACTCTGGTCTATGTGGGCATGATGGGCGAAACGCCCAAAGGGGAACGGCCGTATCAGTGAAGATGCAACATACCATCAGGGGCTGGGGGCAATAGATCTTCGGGATCGCATTGTGGTTCGATGTGCACATTCAGGATACTGAGGTGGTCTTCAGAGATGTCCGAGGGTTTCAGAAGCCTCGCAAAGAGAGGCTGGATTTTCGGAGGGGCGGACGGTGAGTTCCAGGCATCGCTCGGAATGGATTGTCTCTGCGGAAAAGTAATGGGAGTTGGTCGAGGTGGCGGATCTCGTTCTTGATGGCTTATCAGTTTCGACTTGGCGTTGGAGCAGGAGCAGGCTCATGCAGATGACGGGCACGGCACTCACTCACCTCGATCTGGATCGGTGATGTTTAGCCCTACGCCTATAATCGATGTTGAGTCAGCACTTGTCGTATCGGCGGCGTCAACAGGACAGCGCGTCTTGCCGTGGCGTTGTGACCAGCGCCGTGTGGCTGTCCCGAACCACGGCACTCTCGTCGGCCTCCTGGGCGACGGAGGGGGCGGGGTTGCGGCGGCGGCGGCGTCAGCCATGGCGGCGGACAGGCTTCATTGGCGGAACGATGGGG